CCTATTATTAGAACAATAATAAGGAATCATTGCCAAACACATTTACGATGGCCTACTTTTCACCATGGCACATATTGGATCACTATCATGGATAGCACATTGTCTTTTTCTCCAATGTCTGGTTAATGATAAGTCATACATGATTACCATGTTCTATGTTCATCACGACCGGCGATAATGAGCCCTATTTGTATGTTAACACTAGACTGTGTTTTCAGGCTATTTACACCCCATACTGTAGGACACTCCTACCTTTGCTCTGTGTCCACTAACATGGTCCTGGCTCCATGGCCTGGGCTGCCTGCTAGTTAACGTTTTCTATTTGAATGCTGGAGGCTTTAGCTTCTGAAGCATACTGACAAAACAACTGATAGATAGCCATAGCCTTGTGTGACAATAGGAATGAGTACTGGAAAGGGCCAATGAATGACTGACTCTTTGTTGAATTTTAACAATATTATTTGGTCCAATTATGAGAGATTGGGAGGGAGATGAGGGGCAGGTGACATATAATATCATCTTCCATCAACAACTGCAATGCGGATTATCACCGCCTGCACTGTTTCTATAGACCTTTGATCCCAATCAGCTCTGACTGAATAGGAGAACTAGTCTGACTAAAGCTGGAATCTGCATTAGGGGAAACAGCGCCACTGGTCGCCCCAGGCTCATTTGTTATTGTTTTTGTTTTGTTTATGAAAGTAGTTGATGAGCATCCAGCGTCATGGTAAAAAAATAATTGTAGCACATACTCTGCTGTTCTATCGCATGTGCAATGATGTCCGCGGGAAAAAAGTGTTCGTTGTTTGAAGTAACATCTTTGTTGTTGTAATATCGCAAACGAACATGGCAGTTTCACCTCTACGGATTCCAGTTTTAAATAAATACATAATATTTGGTGAGTAACTGGCTGTGTTTGGTTAAAGGGAGATGACTAACCTGTCTGTTCAGGTCAGGTGTAATTATCACAGTGCTGGCTAAACATGGGTGTTGACACGGGTCTTTCTGTCTGGATCTGTATTGATTCCTGTAGCATAGTGGCTGAGATACACATGAGGAGCCTACATATTGTATTAAAAGCACCTCTGTCGTATTATTCACACACACTCAGAATTCGCTGCTTCAAGTTCAGTAGCCTACCTCTCCTCTCCTAGTTGGGCATGCGAGGTCAAGTACGCCTACAGTATATGTATGGTCTCAATGAAATAGCTAGGCTGCCTATGCATGGGTGGAGAAACACCTGGCAGTTATCTTTCCAAGGACATTAATTTAAATATGATTAGGCTGTAGTTTACTACAGTGTCTGTAAATAAATATTGATAATGGAAAGAAGTGGAGGGCACTCAGCCAATGTGAGTCGAGGTGCAATCCAAAAATTATCATTGAAAAGGTGCAACGTGCATACCATGGTGAGCAAACTTTGCGCCTTTTCCTTTTCAATTATAATATAATAATAATATATGCCATTTAGCAGACGCTTTTATCCAAAGTGACTTACAGTCATGTGTGCATACATTTTTACGTATGGGTGGTCCCGGGGATCGAAACCCACTACCCTGGCGTTACATGTGCCATGCTCTACCAATTGAGCTACAGAGGACCACAATTAATAATAATAATTAATTACCCATTTATTTGTCTCTGCCTGTTAATCGTCCCGCTCCTTAAAGGTAGGCTATATCCTAAATGCAAAATGTACAGTGGGGAGAACAAGTATTTGATACACTGCCGATTTTGCAGGTTTTCCTACTTACAAAGCATATAGAGGTCTGTAATTTTTATCATAGGTACACATCAAAAATCCAGAAAATCACATTGTATGATTTTTAAGTAATTAATTTGCATTTTATTGCATGACATAAGTATTTGATACATCAGAAAAGCAGAACTTAATATTTGGTACAGAAACCTTTGTTTGCAATTACAGAGATCATACGTTTCCTGTAGGTCTTGACCAGGTTTGCACACACTGCAGCAGGGATTTTGGCCCACTCCTCTATACAGACCTTCTCCAGATCCTTCAGGTTTCGGTGCTGTCGCTGGGCAATACGGACTTTCAGCTCCCTCCAAATATTTTCTATTAGGTTCAGGTCTGGAGACTGGCTAGGCCACTCCAGGACCTTGAGATGCTTCTTACGGAGCCACTCCTTAGTTGCCCTGGCTTTGTGTTTCGGGTCGTTGTCATGCTGGAAGAACCAGCCACGACCCATCTTCAATGCTCCTACTGAGGGAAGGAGGTTGTTGGCCAAGATCTCGCGATACATGGCCCCATCCATCCTCCCCTCAATATAGTGCAGTCGTCCTGTCCCCTTTGCAAAAAAGCAACCCCAAAGAATAATGTTTCCACCTCCATGCTTCACGGTTGGGATGGTGTTCTTGGGGTTGTACTCATCCTTCTTCTTCCTCCAAACACGGCGAGTGGAGTTTAGACCAAAAAGCTCTATTTTTGTCTCATCAGACCACATGACCTTCTCCCATTCCTCCTCTGGATCATCCAGATTGTCATTGGCAAACTTCAGACGGGCCTGGACATGCGCTGGCTTGAGCAGGGGGACCTTGCGTGCGCTGCAGGATTTTAATCCATGACGCCGTAGTGTGTTACTAATGGTTTTCTTTGAGACTGTGGTCCCAGCTCTCTTCAGGTCATTGACCAGGTCCTGCCGTGTAGTTCTGGGCTGATCCCTCACCTTTCTCATGATCATTGATGCCCCACGAGGTGAGATCTTGCATGGAGCCCCAGACCGAGGTTGATTGACCGTCATCTTGAACTTCTTCCATTTTCTAATAATTGCGCCAACAGTTGTTGCCTTCTCACCAAGCTGCTTGCCTATTGTCCTGTAGCCCATAACAGCCTTGTGCAGGTCTACAATTTTATCCCTGATGTCCTTACACAGCTCTCTGGTCTTGGCCATTGTGGAGAGGTTGGAGTCTGTTTGATTGAGTGTGTGGACAGGTGTCTTTTATACAGGCAACAAGTTCAAACAGGTACAGTTAATACAGATAATGAGTGGAGAACAGGAGGGCTTCTTAAAGAAAAACGAACAGGTCTGTGAGAGCCGGAATTCTTACTGGTAGGTAGGTGATCAAATACTTATGTCATGCAATAAAATGCAAATTAATTAATTAAAAATCATACAATGTGATTTTCTGGATTTTTGTTTTAGATTCTGTCTCTCACAGTTGAAGTGTACCTATGATAAAAACTACAGACCTCTACATGCTTTGTAAGTAGGAAAACCTGCAAAATCGGCAGTGTATCAAATACTTGTTCTCCCCACTGTAGCTCAAGAGAAAGTGTCCGTTCTCATCATTCTTGCTGCTTCAAGGTCAGTAGCCATACATCTCCTCTCCTAGTTGGGCGTGCGATATCAGGTGTGCGTGTGGTCCCAAATAGGGAATGGGAAAGGGGATACCTAGTCAGTTGCACAACTGATTGTATTCAACTGAAATGTGTCTTCCGCATTTAACCCAACCCCTCTGAATCAGAGCGGTGCGGGGGGATGCCTTAATCGACGCCCTTGCTCAAGAGTAGAACGGCAGATCTTTCCACTTTGCCATCTCTGGGATTTGAACCAGCACCAGTCGATTACTGGCCCACCGCTCTTAACCGCTAAGCTACCTGCCGAATAGGCTATAGGCTATAGCCTATGCATGGGCAGGGAAGCACGGGGCAGTTATCTTTGCAAGGAAATGTACTTCCTAAATACAGGATGTTTAGGTTATAGTTTACTACATTGCCAAGGAATAAATATTGATCACCCATATTAGTCTCTGTCTGAAAATCGTCCCGCTCCTAAAAGGTAGGCTATATGCAAAACTCTCCAAATCTGCTCTCTTCAAACTACGTCTAGCCTATTGGCTGATAAAGTCCAGTAATACCGATAGACAAATATAATGGTCCATGTAAGAATCTCTGGTAATTTAACCTATTCCTTAAGTAACTTTTGTGCATTTTGAAATTGCCTATAGGGCGCAAAATTGCTGGGAGCATGGCTGGCAAGCGAGCTGCGTCACATACGCCTAAAATAACATTGTGGGACTGCGGTTGGGTTCGGGCCCAGTTTTTTATTTGTATTTTATTTCATCTTTATTTAACCAGGTAAGCCAGTTGAGAACAAGTTCTCATTTACAACTGCGACCTGGCCAAAATAAAGCAAAGCAGTGCGATTAAAAACAACAACACAGAGTTACATATGGGGTAAAACAAAACATAAAGTCAAAAATACCACAGAAAATATATATACAATGTGTGCAAATGTAGCAAGTTATGGAGGTAAGGCAATAAATAGGCCATAGTGCAAAATAATTACAATTAGTATAAACACTTGAATGATAGATGTGCAAGAGATTATGTGCAAATAGAGATACTGGGGTGCAAATTAGCAAAATAAATAACAATATGGGGATGAGGTAGTTGAGTGGACTAATTTCAGAAGGGCTGTGTACAGGTGCAGTGATCGGTAAGGTGCTCTGACAACTGATGCTTAAAGTTAGTGAGGGAGATAAGAGTCTCCAGCTTCAGAGATTTTTGCAGTTCGTTCCAGTCATTGGCAGCAGAGAACTGGAAGGAATGGCGGCCAAAGGAGGTGTTGGCTTTGGGGATGACCAGTGAGATATACCTGCTGGAGCGCATACTACGGGTGGGTGTTGCTATGGTGACCAATGAGCCTCCAGTTCTTGCGGGAGCCGGTGGTAGACATCGGGATCGGGCGGGTGTGGTATGAAAAGCTGTGGATGCGAGCAGGAGCGGGATGAATCAATCATTCCCGCATAGACCTCTACCACACCTACACTCATACTTCAGTGCCCTTCCCTTTGCTTCCCCACTCTAGTGATTAATTTCAACTAGCCTGGGGCCTCCATTTCACACACTGCTGCCTCCCTCCTATCTTATTTTAACCATGTGGATCTCCTTTCCTCCTGTAACTGTCTTCCCCTCTGGGCCTTGGAGGAGATCTACCGTCACATCTGGCTGTCTGTCATTCTCGCCTTTCAAAGGATACAGACAGAGGGAGAGGAGCAGGGGGGATCTCACAGCGATCTCCCCCCTGAGGTCTGTACAGCTCTGGGGTGAGAGAGGTCGTCCTCCTAGTTTGTCCAGTAAACACTGGAAGTCAGCAAATCTGCCTGTGACCTGGCTGCTGAGAGCACAGCACACAGAGCTGTGTCATCTGAGCTCAGATCAACAGCAGCAGGCTACAGTAGCCTCACCACAGCTGGTCTGCTCTGGGTCCAGATATGTAGGATTCAGCCCAGACAAAACTAAAGACTGTTTGACAACTGTAATGTAGGCGACAGTATGCAGCTCATTCTGTTGTTTTTTTTACATTTGAATATTTAAGGACTTGGACATTGTGCCAGTGGGTTGTTGCAATATTAAGTCATGGCTACCCGTTCCTTTGGAAGATGTCTGGATCTCATTCTCAAGGAGGAAGACAAGCACTCAATAATGTGATGGTGGAGTGTGGCTCACTGTCTCCGTTCTGTCACAGTGAAGTCGGCCAAGAAGTCAAACTCTGTTGCCCTTGTGGGAAAGGCTGAATGTAGGTCGCAGCTGAAATCCAAGCCCAGGCTCCAGGGGGACGTGTAGGCCCGGGGTGCTCCGCTGCTCTAGGGAACGGAGCTGTAGAGAGGAAATAAACAATTTTTTTTTTTACACACAGTTATTTTTAGAGCCTGGGTTGTGAGCAGCAGCGTGCCTTCACATCCTCCTTTTGCCTTTTTGATGTATTTTGAACCGTGATGATCAAAACGTCAGATTTTAGAGCGGCGTGTGTTTGCCTCAGTGGTGCTGTCTCTGTCAGTGCAGAGATGGGCTATTTTCTAACCTGGTTCTATATATACCAAAAAAAAATTAAGCAGGAGATCTGAATGTAATCTTCTCCTCGCCAGTCCTTCATCGGCCGAGGGAATGTATAATGTTGTCATTTCTGTCTTTTTGTCTTGCAATTTTGCGCTAAAATCAAATCTTACTGTGTAGTCCAAGCCTCACAAATGTCAATGTTGAAAAGATCTGAATCAATTGTGCCAGCCAAAGAGAGAGCAGAGGCTCCCTAAAATAGTCATAAATTACAAATGCATGAGGCCCTTGGATTAGTCTGCCAGAGCAGCAGTTCAGTGGCGACCAAAAGGCAGAAGTTAGTTGACTTGAATCTCAGTCACTGAGATGCAAATTAAATAATTACTCATGATATACTTCTGCCAGGAAGCGATCCATTTCGTTGGACAAGGCACAAGATAAACTGTTTATTTTAAGTACAGTACGGGAGGAGTTTGTTTCAATCTACACAGGACACATTCCCACCTTTGATTTATTCCCACAGCCAGAGGTGGGCTGGAAGCCTCCATTGTTTAGTGGCTTAGAGGTAGAGGACAGTTTATAGGAGGCTGCCTGATTGGTTCTGTGTACTCAGACTATCACTGTTGTTTCCTGCTGGACAGATAAACAGAGGGTAAATAAATGTCTTCCTGTGAACACGCTCTCAGGCCAGGCCAGGGTGGATCAGTAATGACATTGTAAGGCGAGAGAGGAGACTTGACTGGCCTTTTCTAATTGAATCAACACCCTCGTCCCTCTGTCCCACTGTATCATACCACACTCCACCCCTGCCCAGCCCACACTTCCTACCCCACCCCTGTCTACCCCATCTTACCCCACACTGTCATGCCTGGGAGGGAGACCCAGAGGACAAGGGGCAGTCTGAGATGGGGACAAGGTGGGAGTGGGGGAGGGTGGGAGTGGAACTATGGTCAATGATGGTGAGCAGGATGGAAACACAGGGTTGTGTGTGATGGTTAGCACTTCATTGGAGATGACAGGGGTAAGACTGTAGATCAGGGGTGTCCAACAGGTCGATTGCAAGCTATCAGTAGCTCGCAGCCCACATATGAGTAGCTCACCAAACATTTCTGAAAGTGCATGCAATTTTCACGTGTTCTACTGCAAACTGTCATAAACAAATCTCACAAGTATCAGACACTCCCAGCTACTATCTAATCAATGCAACATTGACATTATTCCACCCCTGGTTAGCCACTATTGGCTTAAAAAGCCAAACCTAACACAATATCTGCCAACTAATTTCAAGCAATGTTGCCCTTAACTGTCTGTGTGGTGCGCACGTTTGTTATCACTCCATGTGTAACATGTTGATGTGATGACAGAAATACTTTCCCCAAAACCTTCTCAATTAAATGTTAACTGCAAAGTAGGCTTACCTGGCAGAAGTATATCATGAGTAATTATTTAATTTGCATCTATTACTTATAAATTATTTGCAAACTTTGCTATGAAATGAGCAGCAGCAGTACAGAACCAATGCTAGACCGGCACATTCCTCATTCTCTAGATGTACAATTAAAGGGACAGATGCACAATTAAAGAGGAATTACAAAAAAATTTAATTCAGATGTGATTTAAGCGAACATCTATAGTGCATTCGGAAAGTATTCAGACCCCCTTCACTTTTTCCACATTCTGTTATGTTACAGGCTTATTCTAAAAAAGATTTTTTTTTTTTTATTCCCTCATCAATCTATACACAATGCCCCATAATGACAAAGCAAAAACAGGTTTTTAGAATTTTTCAGGTTTTTAAAAACCTGAAATATCCCATTTACATAAGTATTCTGACCCTTTACTCAGTACTTTGTTAAAGCACCTTTGGCAGCAATTACAGCCTTATTGGGTATGATGCTACAAGCTTGGCACACCTATATTTGGGGAGTTTCTCCCATTCTTCTCTGCAGATCCTCTCAAGCTCTGTCAGGTTGAATGGGGAGCGTCGCTGCACAGCTATTTTCAGGTCTCTCCAGAGATGTTTGATCGGGTTCAAGTCAGGGCTCTGGCTGGGCCACTGAAGGACATTCAGAGACTTGTCCCGAAGCCACTCCTGCGTTGTCTTGGCTGTGTGCTTAGGGTTGTTGTCCTGTTGGAAGGTGAACCTTCGCCCCAGTCTGAGGTCCTGAGCGCTCTGGAGTAGGTTTTCATCAAGGATCTCTGTACTTCCCTCGGCCCTGACTTGTCTCCCAGTCCCTGCCGCTGAAAAACATCCCCACAGCATGATGCTGCCACCACCATGCTTCACCGTAGGGATGTTGCCAGGTTTCCTCCAGACTTGATGCTTGGCATTCAGGCCAAAGTATTCAATCTTGGTTTCATCAGACCAGTGAATCTTGTTTCTTATGGTCTGAGAGTCCTTTGGGCTGTCATATGCATTTTACTGAGGAGTGGCTTCTGTCTGGCCACAGATTTGTGGAGTGCTGCAGAGATGGTTGTCCTTCTGGAAGGTTCTCCCATCTCCACAGAGGAACTCTGGAGCTCTGTCAGAGTGGCCATGGGTTCTTGGTCACCTCCCTGACCAAGGCCCTTCTCCCCCGATTGCTCAGTTTGGCCAGGCAGCCAGCTCTGGTGGTTCCAAACTTCTTCCATTTAGGAATAATGGAGGCTACTGTGTTCTTGGGGACCTTCAATCCTGCAGAATTTTTTTGGTACCCTTCCCCAGATCTGTGCCTCGACACAATCCTGCCTCTGAGCTCTACGGACAATTCCTTCGACCTCATGGCTTGGTTTTTTGCTCTGTCATCAAATCAAATGTTATTTGTCACATGCGCCGAATACAACAGGTGTAGACCTTACCGAAATGCTTACTTACAAGCCCTTAACCAACAATGTAGTTCAAGAAATAGAGTTAAGAAAATATTAACTAAATAGACTAAAGTAAAAAATAAAAAGTAACACAATAAAATTACATAACAATAACAAGGCTATATACAAGGAATACCGGTACCGAGTCAATGTGCAGGGGTACAGGTTAGTCGAGGTAGTTTGTACATGTAGGTTGGGGTAAAGTGACTATGCATAGATAATAAACAGCAAGTAGCAGCAGTGTAAAAACAAAGGGGGGGGGTCAATGTAAATAGTCCGGGTGGCCATTTGATTAACTGTTCAGCAGTCTTATAGCTTGGGGGTAGAAGCTGTAAAGGAGCCTTTTGGACCTAGACTTGGCGCTCCGGTACCGCTTGCCATGCGGTAGCAGAGAGAACAGTCTGACTTGGGTGACTGGAGTCTTTGACAATTTTTTGGGCCTTCCTCTGACACCGCCTAGTATATAGGTCCTGGATGGCAGGAAGCTTGGCCCCAGTGATGTATTGGGCCGTACGCACTACCCTCTGTAGCGCCTTACGGTCGGATGCCGAGCAGTTGCCATACCAGGCGGTGATTCAACCTGTCAGGATGCTCTCGATGGTGCAATCCTGCAGAATTTTTTTGGTACCCTTCCCCAGATCTGTGCCTCGACACAATCCTGCCTCTGAGCTCTACGGACAATTCCTTCGACCTCATGGCTTGGTTTTTTGCTCTGTCATCAAATCAAATGTTATTTGTCACATGCGCCGAATACAACAGGTGTAGACCTTACCGAAATGCTTACTTACAAGCCCTTAACCAACAATGTAGTTCAAGAAATAGAGTTAAGAAAATATTAACTAAATAGACTAAAGTAAAAAATAAAAAGTAACACAATAAAATTACATAACAATAACAAGGCTATATACAAGGAATACCGGTACCGAGTCAATGTGCAGGGGTACAGGTTAGTCGAGGTAGTTTGTACATGTAGGTTGGGGTAAAGTGACTATGCATAGATAATAAACAGCAAGTAGCAGCAGTGTAAAAACAAAGGGGGGGGTCAATGTAAATAGTCCGGGTGGCCATTTGATTAACTGTTCAGCAGTCTTATAGCTTGGGGGTAGAAGCTGTTAAGGAGCCTTTTGGACCTAGACTTGGCGCTCCGGTACCGCTTGCCATGCGGTAGCAGAGAGAACAGTCTGACTTGGGTGACTGGAGTCTTTGACAATTTTTTGGGCCTTCCTCTGACACCGCCTAGTATATAGGTCCTGGATGGCAGGAAGCTTGGCCCCAGTGATGTATTGGGCCGTACGCACTACCCTCTGTAGCGCCTTACGGTCGGATGCCGAGCAGTTGCCATACCAGGCGGTGATTCAACCTGTCAGGATGCTCTCGATGGTGCATCTGTAGAACATTTTGAGGATCTGGGGACCCATGCCAAATATTTTCAGTCTCCTGAGGGGGAAAAGGTGTTGTTGTGCCCGCTTCACGACTGTCTTGGTGTGTTTGGACCATGATAGTTTGTTGGTGATGTGGACACCAAGGAACTTTAAACTCTCGACACGCCCCACTACAGCCCCGTCGATGTTAATGGGGGCCTGTTCGGCCATCCTTTTCCTGTAGTCCACGATCATCTCCTTTGTCTCTGACCTCCTCCCTGTAGGCTGTCTCATCGTTGTCGGTGATCAGGCCTACCACTGTTGTGTCGTCAGCAAACTTAATGATGGTGTTGGAGTCGTGCTTGGCCACGCAGTCAACTTTGGGACCTTTATATAGACAGGTGTGTGCCTTTCCAAATCATGTCCAATCAATTGAATTTACCACAGGTGGACTTCAATCAAATTGTAGAAACATCTCAAGGATGATCAATTGAAACAGGATGCACCTGAGCTCAATTTCGAGTCTCATAGCCAAGGGTCTGAATAGTTACGTGAATAAGTTATTTCAGTTTTTTATTTTTAATACATTTGCGAAAATGTCTAAAAACCTATTTTCACTTTGTCATTATGGGGTATTGTGTGTAGAATGTAATCCATTTTAGAATAAGGCTGTAACGTAACAGAATGTGGAAAAAGTAAAGGGGTCTGAATACTTTCCGAATGCACTGTAATTTCGTTGTTTCTCTATGAACAATTGTAATTTCGAGTGTGAAAAACTAAACCAAAATCTAAAACCAGGAAAACATAATTTAGTGTTAAAAAATTGCGGATTTTATAGGGCCCCCCTTAGAGTTGTTTATTAACCATTATTTTTACCAGGTATATTGACAGAAAATATAGTGAATTACTTTCTCTTGTACACTAAGGACTAATTTGTAGCGCGCAACATGTAAAAAAAAAATGTAAGTAGCTCTCACGCTAGAAAAGGTTGGAGACCACTGCTGTAGATAATTGATTGTCTCTGAGGTAGCTAGCTGAGGTTACGGTGACGCTAGACAGGCGGTGATGCTAAAGGTCATCTTGGCGGTGGTGGCCATGTATTGATTGTGGTTAAGGTGTCATGGTGATGTCACCTTCATAGCATCCAGCTCATGATAACTGGAATGATGCATGCAGGCCAAGGGATGACATATTGATTTTGAAACTTTACCGCTGTTTTGGGGGTGATAATAGGTTAATGAGGCTAGCTGTTCAGGGCTGATTGTGGACTAGCTGTAAGGGTGCTGACTGAAATTATCAATATGTTGGGAGCAGTGACATGGGGTTGTGGTCAGGTCACTGGCTATGGGGATGATTAGGCCAGGCCAGGATACTGATGTTGAACAACAGAGGGACCAGCCTTTCACAGTGACAAATCAAATCTAATTTTATTGGTCACATACACATATCTAGCAGATGTTATTGCGGGTGTAGCGAAATGCTTGTGTTCCTAGCTCCAACAGTGCAGTAATATCTAACAATACACAACAATACACACACATCTAAAGTAAAATAATGGAATTAAGGACACACATCCGTGTGTGTGTGTGTGTGTGTGTGTGTATTTCTGTGTAGAGGTTGCTTTATAAAGCCCCATTAGGTGATTGTTTTTCGTTGTTTGGCCCTTGACTGTGCCATTTGGTGGCCACACCCCACCCTCCCCTTAGCAGTGGGGAAGCTTCAGATGTGGGTATGTGTGTGTGAACAGCTGCTGATTGTGATGTGTTTCCGCTGCTAACCTTTTGAGCATTACAGGCCTGTGTGTGTGTGCGCACCATGCCATGCTCTTGTTTCCACCGGTGGCCCAGTCACCCCAGAGCAGCAGGGCCTCTGCTAGGATGAAAGGATCACATGAGGGAGGGAGGGAGAGCAGAGGGGGGTTCACATGGGGTTACACAGAGCCCATGCGCTTTAAAATATAACCGAAAAAATATATATTTCGCTCTCGAGATATGAAGGCTGATCTATGGTGCATCCCTAGTTGTAATGGAGGGGGGGGGGGTCTGTACAGTTACATATCAGGATATTATTTTTGATGATATATCTCAATATTATTTTTGCACTAGTCAGCCAGTCCTGCACTAAAACTTCCGTAATAGCTTGTTCTCCTTCTTCTTTGTAAATAGTGAGCCAATTTTTTTCAGCACTTTTATTTGCATGACTGATCAAAACTTGTTTTTCTCATGGCTCTCTCTTGTCCCTCTGCAGCAGAAATGATGGTGAGCAATATGTTTGGAACATATCGAAACGCAATACAAATACAATTGTGAGAATCACAATACATATCGTATCGGCACCTAAGTATCGTGATAATATAGTGTCATCAGGTCCCTGGCAATTCCCAGCCCTAATCCCTAGTCAATTCCCTCAGATGGGGATAGAAGCTGATGGGATTTATAGACAGAAAAACAGCAGACACTTTTCCAGTTCTGTAATGAAATCAAGTGCAGTTCATATGGAGTCTGTGAGGAGAGTGAAGTAGACCATGGTAGACTCTGTAGCGGAGGTGGGACCAAGTCACTATTATTTGAGTCCCAAGCAAGTCTCAAGTCACAAGGTTCGAGTCTCGAGTCGAGTCCCAAGTAGAACGGTCCGAGTCTCGAGTCAATTCCAAGTCGTGCATAAGAGCATGTCAAGTCGAGTCACAACTTTTTTCAAGTCAAGTAAAAAATGATCTATACATGCAATGACTTGTTCAACTACATATATGTTTTATTTTTAATAAGGCTACCAGACAGCCCTTTTCATTATTTTGTAGTAATTAATTTTAACAACAAATTCCTAACTCAAGCTTCATAGGTAAATTATACATTTCAAACCATTTTTACTTACCGAAAGACCAGTAGCTAGACCTATTTTTGATTGATGCCCCATTGCTGGTGAGCTTGCAAAGTAAACAGTTAATATTCTTGATCACCAAAATGTTTTGGAGCTAGATATTTATTAATGTAATTCCTCTCTACCTACAATTTGATGTTTGCGATGCACTCGATCCTATAGCTGTACAGCAAATCGGCAATCTGTTCGCTAGCTCAGTGGTTCTCAACAGTTTTGAGCCGCGACCCCCAAAAAGCAGTGATTCAAATCTCGCGACTCGCACATGCACGCGTGCACAATCGGAAATGTAGCCTGTCATTACAGCCATAAACAGCTATGCATTTTTTAAACGCAAGATATAGAAATAAACTGCGATTTACACCTGCATTTGTAGCTGAAAGTCATTCATGTTAGCAGCCAATATCAACTAGGGATATCATGTCACTTTGTCACTTCTCTGGCGTCCAGAGCAAGCAGAATCATACGGAAAATGATATCAACTCCAGTATAAGGAAATGAAGCCCTCAATGTCAGAGGAGACTGAGGCTAGCTTATGAGTGATTCTGTCATTCCAGGGTTGTCCTTACCAACAGAAAATAATGTCTCACTGCATGCAGTGTAAGCTTAGGCCTGCAACATTCACTGCCCTACTGCATACACACAATGTTAGTCAGTGTACATTGTTTGTGTGGAAATGCATGTCTACGTTATGGTTAACACAATATTCTAATGTTGTAGTATATACATACCTACTACCATGGTAAATAGTGCATTAGAGTGGACAGCTTCTCAGTATTTAAAGCCTTAACGTCATCCAAGCGTTTACTGTTTTACTGATTATATTACTGCACTGACGATTCTCAACAATCCTTCTAGCCATGAGTTAACATTAGGCTATTGCTTACATCAAATCTCAAAGGCCTTAATGTGTGTTGATTGGTGATTTATGCTAACTGTGTAAAGGTTAGTTTTGGACTCTCTCTAGTGTTCCTCTGGGTTTGTGAGGTCAGACTAGAACAGAAGCTCTGAGGAGCTTTGAGAAGGACTATCTCTTCAACAGCAGACATCAATGGAGCTTTTGTGTGGGACAGGGAATTAATTAACTCGATATGAATTACAGTGTTCTAATCATCTGGCTGAGAGGCTGGCTATTCTGGCCTGAAAATACGGGTCACAACCCATACTTCCTGTTTGTCTCTGAGTGGAGCCGTGTGATTGGTGGGATGAGTCAACAGCACTCTACTGAGTCTTCTTTGGTAGTAGAACACTCATCCTGGGTGAAGTCTCGACCAAGGTCAACACTACAGATTTACTGTCTCCATTGGGAGACGCTTCAAAGTTTCTCTGATAGAGTTCAGGCTTTGTTTGAGGGTTCGTCTTACGCATCGATTTTCCCTCACTAGAAGAAAGATGAGTTAGTTTGCACTGAGGGTGGAGGAGTTGTGAACAATGACCAGCCTGAGATTTTAAATCACTTACCACAGTGATGTTGCACACAAGCTACGTCGTACACAGAACACAATCTAAAGAGGAGCAATCCCATTAAGTCACATCTCCCGTGCAGCTGTGGCTACAGGGGAGATGATATTGAAGAAGTGATTGAGAATATGACAGTGGTGTGATGAGAATATGACAGTGGTGTGATTGAGACTATGGCACTGGTGTGTGTGTAAGTTATTGTCACATCTCTGATTTATCTCAGCTGTCATTGAAATGGCCACCGTGGCAAGAGCATCTCCCAGATTCTCCTCCCATCTCCCTGGGCTATTTTTACCAACAGCCATATTCTCATCAGCTCACTGGAGTGATGGGGAGATAGAGGAGAGGAGGCTGTTGTTCTCATACTGAAGAGAAGGAACAAACAGGAGAGATTGGTGATTAGTTCTCCCTCCACTGCTTAGGTAGAAGGAGCTGCTGCCTCATGGGTGGCCATCTTTGTTTAGACATCACAGTGCTTGTAGTAAAGCAACATGTAGACAGATGGTATGGTTTTTCTGTTGACGAGATTTCTTGAAAATGTAATAAGCGTATTCTAATTCATCCGCCATGACAAAACATTACCTCAACCCTTATTGGGTTGAGCAGAATATCTTTGGAGTAGTAGTAGGTAAACAGCATCTCTTTGGTAATGGAGAGGGAAAGGCAGAAAGAGAGGGATCGAGAGTGGTAGCAAAAAGAGAGAGATAGTGGGCAGGAGATGAGTTTGACTGGCTCTGTCATCAATTATCATGGCGGGTTTCCATAATCTCATCACCAATGTATTATAGAGCCATTTAACACTGACTTTACACCAACTCTCCCACTCTCAGGATTGCCAAACGGTCCCCCACACACACATCTCTATACACACACACACTCCCCACACAGTAGTGTTACTCAGACACAGAGGGTTCCCACAGCACCTCATGAATGCATAAATAAACAAGACTCATCTTTAAGTTGTTGTCCTCCAATTTAAGTGGTCATTGTCAGTGTTAAATTAATTATTTTGTCACCATGTGTCATGCGTGAATCATGAAACTGACTATGTTGGGTTAATCCCACTCCAACTTTAGCCACATTTCCTGTGTGGAAAGCTAAATCATCACTTGACATTGTGTTATCTTCATGGTTGATGACCCGTCCCTCTCTCTGATTGGCTCTTCAGGTACAACCCGCCTGCCGCGTGACAGAGAGGTCCCTGGAGTAGATTACAACTTCCTGCCGGTGGAGGACTTCCTGGCGCTGGAGCAGTGTGGAACCCTTCTGGAAATAGGAACATATGAAGGTAACTGTCTGCAGCAATGCTCACTCGCTCAGTGTATTCATAGGTTGAGTGTCGACACTAACTAGGACCCCTCAGAAGTGAACACCACATAGAGATAAACCACCCATGTCATCAGTTGAATCCTGGACAAGTTATTTACTTAAGTATCTACTGTCTACTGTATGTGGGTGGTATATCGCTGGAGGTGAGAGTGTACTAGGTGTTTTTTAAACAGGCTTTTGCTTTAAGTTGAGTAGTCATCATTACCCTGGCATCATGTTCTGTGGAAAGGGGTCATGAGACGTGAGAGAGGGTTTCTGTCTTTGTTCGCACGCAACTTCCAGTGTTGTGTATATTTTAATAGCAAAGAATAGCAATCAACAACAGTGGAGCATTAAACATGTCATGCATAAATATCATTCATTCACATGCACGTTTAATGAAGTGGCTGTTCCGTCCCTGTAGCTTTGTCAGTGGGCCCAGACAATGGGCCTGCTCCACTCTCCCAGAGAAAACAAACATCCAAGGGGAACAAACAGCCTCCTCACTTCCACCAATAGAATGCACTAGACTAGAAAGCACCAAAGGAACTCTGTGGTCATGCCTTCTTAGCCCCCTCATCTGTATACAAAGACTCTGTGATTATAGCCCCCTACTCTCCCTCCTTTCCCTCTCTATCGCTCTCCCTTTTGTTTTTTCTAAACATGATAATATCCTCCTGTTGCCTAGGTAACTATTATGGAACACCCAAGCCGCCAAACCAGCCCCCTAGTGGGAAAGTGATTACTAGTGATGCTTTGCAAGACAGCCTCCCGGGCTCCCAGCACTCCACTCCCCGACGCACCAAGTCCTACAATGAGATGCAAAATGCTGGAATAGTGCCTGTAGACCTGGAGGAGGACGAGGAACTCCCGGAGATGAACAGTAGCATAACAGGTAAAAGAGAGAAGAGAGGGAAGGAGAGAGCGAGACAGAGCAAGACATACAGAGAGAGAAACAGAGAAAGAGAGAAACAGAGAGAGAGAGAGAGAGAGCAACACCAGGAGAGAGAGAGAGGGATAGAAACAGAGAGAGAGAGACCCACACAGAGAGCCACACAGAGAGAGAGACACATACAGAGCCACACAGAGAGAGAGAGAGACACACACAGAGACACACACAGAGAGAGACACAGAGAGAGAAACAGAGAGAGAGAGACACACACACAGAGAGACCACAGATAAAGAGACGGACACACACAGAGACACAGAGAGAGAGAGAGAGAGACACAGAGACACAGACAGAGAGAGACACAGAGAGAGAAACACAGAGAGACAGATTTAAACTGCTGGGCTATGGGAAAGGGATACAGGATACAAGTGGTCCTTTGTGTGTAGAGTGGTTGGTTGTTTGTTCAGTCTACATCCGCCACTGTCTATCTGAGAGTTTAAAAAATAGTGCCATCTGGCTGCGATAAGAGGCAGAATGTGCAGCTGCCATGTCTGAAACCATTATGGTGGGTTTCTCTCTGGAGAGGAAAGTCAGCCTAGCCAAGTGTCAGGAGGTGAATGTGTGAACAGGATCTGATGACCTCGGAGAGAGGGGGAGGGGCACTAATCTAATCATCACTCTCCCCCAAGAGGTCAGATCAGGGGCCTCGCTCAGTCAAACACAACAGTTGCCGAGTGTTGGCCAAGTGTGTGCGTATTATAAAAGAAAGAGAGATTCCTTCAGCTCTAAAACTACTAGGCTACATATCAGTCTGGGTTTGAGGCCACCAGACTATAGTACCTCAGAATGTGAGTGTGCATTTTGTTTGCACACGTATTTGTTCTGTGCAAATGACTAAGCCTCCCTTTCCTCCTCTCCGCACTGCCCTCCCCCCACAGGAGACTCAAGTGAACCCGACGAGCGCCCCTCTGTGCGCCCCTACGCCCTACGTGAGAACGCCCCGTCCTATGGTGTGATCAACGCGTCGTCATCCACCACGGACGGCTCTCAGCAGACACACACACACCTCAGCCATCCTCCTACAAAAGAGGACCCCCTGGGACCTCTAGCTGACAACTGGGAGATGGCCTACACCGAGAACGGAGAGGTCTACTTTATAGAGTACGTACCCTAGTACACCCTACACCCTGGCCTATGCCCTATGTACCCTCTGTTCCCTTACCATACACCGAGATAGGAGAGGTCCACTTCATAGAGTATGTACCCTATAACATATCCAACACCCCATAACACACCATATAACATAGCCTAAATGGGTCTATACCCAACGTCTATAATAGTATTTAAATTAGTATCTTCTCAAGACAATATTGTGCTTCCACTTTACACCATTTTTGCATAATGACCACTCCTTTTTATCGATCTCATTGTTTCATGTTATGTGTATATTGGTTGTATGGTTGTTACTGTATTTAATATAGTTTTTTATTGTAGAACCCTGACTGCATAACACATTTCCCAATTGGGACAATAAAGATAACTTGAACTTGAACCTTTGATACATTGGAAGTTGTGATACTTGCCTTTAGCATTGAGTCTGATTACATCACAGTATGTATCATATTTAGCCGTGGAAGTGAGGATGTTTTTCAGACAGTGAGTGTTTGATGACTTCCCAGTCAGAACAATGTGTCTGTCTGGCTGTCTTACTCTGTCCTGTGTGTCTATCTATAGCCACAACACAAAGACCACATCCTGGATCGATCCCCGGTGCCTGAACAAACCTCCCAAACCCCTAGAAGAATGTGAAGACGATGGTACGTCCACCACAGACTCTGTTTGTGCATGCATGTGTGTGTTTGTGCGTGCGTGCATATGTGTGTGTCGGGGAAATTGTGTATTCACTGTCTTGTTTGTTTGTCTGTTGTTGACTCATTTGTTTATGGGAAGAGGGAACCGTGCAGAATCAGATGCATGTCTGTCAGATCAATTGTTCAATCAGTGGCCTGCAGATGGCACACTTGAGCCACCGTAGTGTGAGATGAGATGAAATGAGATGCGTTAATATTCTGATCTCGTGTGCTGCCTGCCTGCGCTCATGTCTGAGCAAGACGCCCCGGCAGCCTGAAGGACTGATTGGATTATTCTCATCATCTATCATAAATAAATAATGTACCTTGTCCTACAGAGAGGACTGCCCACCTACACAAAACACTAGCGTTTCAGCTGCCTCTCCCCTCTTCTCCCGCTGCCATGTGTCCTCTCAATGTGTTTTGTGGTCCTTGTATTGAAATAGCTCTATAAGTTCTGTCCTCTCAAGCTGCTGCAAGAGGACACATAGGATAGAGAGATTATTCATATTGTCAAGCATATGGTTCATGAACTATAATTCATATTTATGGCAGCTGTTTTCACCCACCCCAATCTCAGAAGGTCCGTATTAAAATGTACAGGTAACTGCCAAAATAAAGGAAACACCAACATAAAGTTTCTTAATAGGGCATTGGGCCACCATGAGCCAGAACAGCTTCAATGCGCCTTGGCATAGATTCTACAAGTGTCTGGAACTCTATTGGAGGGATTCGACACCATTCTTACACGAGACATTCCATCATTTGGTGTTTTGTTGATGGTGGTGGAAAACGCCATCTCAGGCGCCGCTCTAGAATCTCCCGTAAGTGTTCAGTTGGGTTGAGATCTGGTGACTGAGACGTGCACACACACACACCCTTTAAACCCCCTAAGTTCCTTTGAAACCCCTCTTTCAAAGTCACTAAGATCTCTTCTAGCCATGGTAGCCAAAATAATGGGAAACTAGGCATTTTTGTATATGACCCTAAGCATGAAGGCATATTTAATTAACTCAGGAACCGGAAGCAGCTGTTTTCAATATATTTTGTGTCCTTGATTTACTGGAGGGTTTCCTTTACTTTGGCAGTTACCTGAATGTCTGTTTCTTTGGTCAGACTAATTTATTTCACATAAATGCACCTATGCAGCTGGTATGAAACAGTGCCACCCAATGGTGAAGTGGAAAGCTCTTCAGAGATGTGTTCTTTGTGTTTAACGATATTGCACAGACTGTGGCTAATATAAAGCTATGAGCTATTGTCATGGTGCATGTAGGGATTTAGTATGGATTTATCGAAGGGTTCACACCTTACAAACCATTTTAACTAATTAGTCATGATTAGCAGTCATGATTCCAGACACATTATGGTGTTTACAATGTATGGAGCCAAATGTTGCTGCTCTCTCGGCTTGCTTGAGGCTTAAAATCAAAATCAATCGCTAAGCCTCTGCTGCTCTCGCTCTCTTTCTCTGCCCCCTCTCTCTCTCTCCTCTCCTCCCCCTGTTCCTCCACCCCCGACCCATGGTCCCCCACGTTCGCTCTCTCCTGGTCTGCTGGCGTTCTCCTGGAGAAGAAGGGGTACACACAGAAGAGATGGACAGTGAGCTAGGTAGGCTTGTCTCTCCTCCCCCCTCTCCCCTGCTGTGTCTTATGGGAAACCTGTCTACTGTATTTGACAATGTCACCCTGGCTTATTACAGCGCATAACACCTCTCCCTTTCTGCCTAGAGGGTGTAAACATGTAATCAAACGCTTTATAACACCTGGGCTGTGAAAGATTGTCTGAAAGACATGTATATGTGTGTGCATACATGCATGTACGTTCCTGTGTGCAGGCTTGTGTCTGCTGAGCAGGCAGTTCTTATAGGGTTAACGCATTCGCCCGGCCAGCCAGCATGCAGTAATAAAGAGAGAACCATTCACGAGGGGCACATTGGCCTGATTATTATTTCCTAATGGGCCTCTCATTCAAATTGACCTCTCACTCTCAAGCCCCATCATTCCATCCGCTGTTGCTCATATTATAACAGAGAGCACTTTACCCACCACTGTCTGCCGGTGCATCAGTCTCTGGAGCCAGAGGGAGGCTAACAGCCATGGCTCTGAGATGGGCTCTGATAACTGCTGCCTACAATTTTATTTAAATGGTGACTGCATCGGTGAATAGTCACAATTCTCAAGAGTCATCAGTGTCTGAAGATTCTTGTTCTAGCCTGTTAATCAGATGGCTCTATTTTAACAAATCTAACACAATGGTAAATCTTAAGACTGGTGGTAGCGCTATAGGTTAGTGGGGGTGTCAGAAATATCTTTGCTATTTTCACAACCAGAATTATGGGCGCAGGAGCTGGCGGTGGCTTGAAAGGGCTGAGTTTTGATGAATAAACAAGATGAAGGTGTGTCGAGGCTTGACCCCCTCACTGGCCATTCAGAACGTGCTCCATGGTAAATATGTGGTTGCTTCAAGTTGTGTATTTAGGGTATTTAATGTACTGCGTTGTCATCAACTCCAACTCCAATGTTAGTCCATTATAGCCTAGTTTTTTAACTAGCCCACAGAAACAAAATAACAAAATGTAGGCCTATCCCATATTTGCTCACTATTTTTAACATGTTTGCAGTCCACATTGTTCTAAGTAATTGCATGGCTTCAATATGGAAATATATTGTTAACATAGCATTCGCGCTGATATAGGACTACTGTAAAATGCATTATCTGAGCCATGGACACACCAAACGTTGTCAATAAGCAATATTACATTTACTATTGATAAGACCTATAAAGATGGAATAATTTGAATCAAATTCTAATAAAACAAGACAACAACTTGTTTTAAATAGGCTATGTCTAAATACAGTTACAGGCACCATAATTGCTCCACGTGCACATATAATATTATGCCTAAGACAGCATAGACTATGGAGGGTTTTACACACATCCAAACTTTTTTCAAAAGCTGGAAAAATATCCAATATAAAGACAAAGTGGGAATGTCCGCTCACCGTTATACTGATCCCAAAGAGAGTTAGATAGATAGCTATAGCCTACCATCGCTGTTGATATGGCCAGTATTTACTTTGCCATGTGAAAGGTAAACAAACAGGCAAATATAGCCTACAAGCAGATTCAGCACCACAGACAATGATCAGAATTCCCTCGATTTGACTGTTAGGTCCAACAGATGAAAGTAGAAGATGCGTTTTTTGACAAAATGATAAACGAAAAACAATAAGCAGTCTTTTTAAATAATTTATTGTCCCTAAACAGGCTGAGTCAAAACTTTTCACAGAAGCTGGACAAAAATAATGTTTAAAGGCCCAATGCAGCCATTTTTATATCAATATCAAATCATTTCTGGGTAACAATAAGCACCTTACTGTAACAGATTTCCATTAACATTTCTAGTAAAAAACGATTTATCAAGCAAGAATTCTGCTAGGACTGCCTGGGAGTGGTCTTAGTGGGGAGGGGAAAGTGAAAACTAGCTGTTGATGGCAGCCAACTTACCGCATGGTGATGTCACCATGGAAAGCAGAAACTCCCGCCCATGCAAACCTGCTGATTACAACGTCCTGTGTAGATTGTATTCTCAACCAGCAACTATCATGAAATAACACTGATCACATTTTTTCACACATTTGCAGTGTTAGTTCCATCAGCTGTTGTACAATATGATATAAAACACAGGAAAAACTTAATGTTGACCTCAATGGGCCTTTAATAAAACATTGGTGACGTACAGAAGGCTAGTGTGTGCGCCTCTGCTGGAAAAATCTATTCCATAACCAATTGCGTTACGCTAAGACCAGCTTTTGGTCGGTCTTAAGTATCCCTAGTTGGCACACGTACACACCTAAAATATTTCCATACCTCAGCGCAAGCAAGCTAATGTTAGACAGGTAAATTGCAGAACCTGGTGCAAAGTGTGGAAAATGCCAGTGCACCAGTTTTTACATGACAAAATTGCAAACTAAGGTGTGTTTGCTGCTTGCGCCTCCTTAGCAGCAGCTGAAAATAGAGCCCAGAGACTGATTTAGACTGGGGAACCAGGTGTGTGTAAGACCCGGTCAATCAGTGATATCAATTGATCAATTAATTGCCAAGGAGTAGTGCACCCCTGGGTTAAGGTTAGGTCTGAGGTAAGTGAGGGTAAGCTGATCCTAGACCAGTGTTTAGCCTCTGAGATGGTCTCCTCCATGTTGTGAACAGCAGCCAGCCCAGGACAGGAGCATCCCTTGTTCATACCACTGCTCAGATTGGATGAACACAGTCAATATGTATCGATTGTGAAATCCGATACATGGAGAAAAGGGCAATTACTCCATTGTGTATAGGACAGCAGATGTATGGCCCCGGTGTGCAGCCCCTCGCTCAGGAGAAATCAAATAGTCAGGAAGACCGAATGAGATGCAAACAGTTTAAGTGTGCGTGGGCATCGACCGGGCAACGTGGAGCTGGGGATTCGTCCCGCTGCAGCCACTCAGTATCAGCAAGGCCAGTAGTGACATGACGGCTCTGGCGCCTAACTATAATAGCACACAGACAGATCTCCTTTACGAATACAGCCACTCTGGTGTGAAATACAGTGAGTGATTATAATTTACAGTGAGGTGCTACTGGCTCAAGGTTTACTGTTTCCCTTCAGAACATCTGAGAAAAATAAAGCCTAGTCTGTGTATTGTGAATGTTCTGAACACAACACAACACCCCCTTAATTCCTCCCGGCTTAACACCTTGACTCCACATCCTCTAAAGCTGGTTGAGGTAATGAGTGTACACCACTCGTCAGAATATAGACATGCAGCACTGATAATGTACAGCAGAGGAGTCCGTCACACACATCTGTTTGTAACCAATTACAGCCCTCTGACATTTCTCTATATATTTAACATTTTAGTCATTTAGCAGATGCTTGACTTACAGGAGCAATTAGGGTTAAGTGCCTTGCTCAAGGGCACAACAACAGATTTTTCACCTAGTCGTCCCGGGGATTCAAACCAGCAACCTTTCGGTTACTGGCTCAATGATCTAACCACTAGACAACCTGCCGCCTTTATAGCTATTGGTACAGTAGCTAGCTAGCTCTATCTCAGCGTTTTAGTCACACTGCTCTGTATACTGAAAATGTATCAATGTAGCAGCCTTTACAGCTGAGTAGTCCATGTTTAGATCCAATCAGTCTTGATTTTTGGCAGTGTTGTCGGGCCATTTATGGCAGTTTTGTCAGGCCACGCTCAGCATCGATGTCAGGGAAGATAAACATGTGTTTGTCTGCTTACACACATCTGAAAGAAAGGCTTCTTGAGGAGAATGCATCATTAATGAATTAGACCACAGTGAGTAATACATGATCAATGACATCCAGTTGGTGATGGTCTCCAATGCCATGTGACATAGACAGTGGTAAACCAATCAAGGACAATACTGAATATCATTCTATATACACCTGCGTCAAGGATGTCAGTCAGCATTGTACATCACTTTCCCTTACTGACTTGAACAATAAGAAAACATTTCTTCACCGTGACATTTTTAAACTGCAAACCATGGTCCACATTTAGACGACCACCCACATACCGGCAGCTCCTCTTCTCCATCTGAGTGTGGGGTTGATCGTGATTGGTCAAAGCCCCCCTGTAGTTCTTTATCTGATGTGTTAAATGTCAGCCGTGTCCTGCCAGGAGCCAAGAGCCAGGTCCAGACAGCCTCTCTAGTGTTGTTCACTCCCAGGTGACTGACAGGCTGTGTGTGGTAGGAAAAGGTCTTTATGACCTGTCTGAACACAATCTCTAACAACCTGCCTTTTCTACCTCTCTCTATCTCCCATCCAGAGCTGCCAACAGGTTGGGAGAAAATAGAGGATCCAGTCTATGGGGTTTACTATGTGGAGTAAGTAGTGACACACACCTCTGGATGTATCTGTAGCGTTTCTCACTACCTCACTGTATTGTACGTTCAGAATGCATTTAACACTGAGCAGTGGCCCAGAACATTGTAAAACCACATCAAATGTAGTACACCAGACAGCTGTTGTTTTGGTCTAGTCTGTTATGGGGAAAATAGGCCATTTGTTGCTTTCATGATCATTTAGAAATGTAGTTTCTCATCTAGTGGGAGCCCCTTGGGCCTGTGCATTAATATGAATGCATTCATATGTTTTGATGTTGTTCAAAGCAATACCTTAGAGGCAGAGGCCCAGTTTTTTTTGTCTGCGATTTTTCAATATATATTATTCCAAAAAATGTCCTGTTAACTGCATAATTTCCCAGCATGTTTCTGTATTGTTTGAAGTGTAATTTCCTTACGGTGCGGTGTACTGCTCTCCTAAGTTCCTGCCGGGTTTGTGGTATGACGTGGTTTTGGTGGTGTTGTTAACCTCCTGAAGCAGTGTTCTTTAGTGATTGTGTGATGCTGTTGATATTCAGGCCTCATCGTCTCTGTCTCGTCTGATCAACCAGTCTGTACCAGACTTTACTTCCCTGACTTAAGCCCCTGGCTCCTGGAGCATTGGCCACCAGAGACGTTTTCTAACTGTGTGTTGTATTAACTCCCTCACCACTGCCTCTCTGTATCTCTCTCTTTCTTTCTCCCTCAACCATCCCTTGTCTCACCTTTTTGGCTTTCTTCTATTCTTCAATTCCTTCTCTCATACACATTTATTTCCTGTCGTCATCCCCCTTGTTCCCTCTTTTCTTTTGCTGACTCAATTAATGATCTTTCTCTATTCCTCTAACTTCCTGTGTCATTGTCCTAATTTCTCCTCCATCCCTCTCTTCATCCCTCTCTCAGTCACATCAACAGGAAGACCCAGTATGAGAACCCTATACTGGAGGCTAAGCAGCGGAAGCAGCTCGAGCAACAGCAGCCACCAGAAGGTGAGCGCTACATCCGAGGTTCGTTTCCAGCCCCGCCGGGCGTCATTCCTTTCTTTCTCCATGTCTGTGATCGTGCCTGTCTGTCTCCGTGTCCTTCTGCTCTGCTCTCTTCTCTTTATGATTTGCTATCGAGAAACCATAAAGGCATACCTATGATTTATTTTAATGGCCTTGAAAATAGGTCTTTTTACAAATTAATTTGTCAATGTTTTAAGTGTCACTGATAATCTCTCCAGTGTTTGCGCTAATATTAATGCTTTTGTAAGTGTACAGGTGTAGGTAAGTTTTTTGATTTGACAATAATACATTAAAAGTCTGTTACAGCAATGAAAATGTATCACCATATAATAGTTATAATATTTCTGGATCTTGTTCTCCTAGTGAAAAGTATTTGAGGACAGATGCTTTAGGTCTCTTTAGTCTATACAGCCCGCTATGTATGTATTTGAACAGTGATGCAAACATTTTACATTTGGCTCTGTACTCCAGCATTTTGTATTTGAGATCAAATGTTTCATATGAGGTAACAGTACAGAATGTCACTGTTCATTTGAGGGTATTTTCAAACTGTAAATCAGATATGTATGGAAATACCCTGAAATAAAAGGTGACATTCTGTACTGTCACCTCATACGAAACATTTGATCTCAAATCCAAAATGCTGGAGTATAGAGACAAATGTAAAATGTTAGCATCACTGTCCAAATACATACTGTATGTAGGGAAGTGTCGGTAGAATGTCCTCCAAATGTCCTTTCTTCATGCAGGTCACACCACTAGGAACCTGCCTATTGGTCCCCGTTCTGCAGACTCAGCTAAATGTGCTTCTGACTTGATTACCTATCTGCTGACTTTTTCTCCTTTAAGCTTAATATCTCTTTATGCTCAATATCTATTACTTTTACTCTTTCATTGATTGAATCTTGATGCTGAGAATATTAATGAAGACTTAAGCCTCTAATACACTACACAGTGAAGCTGACATTTTGATCGATCAGAGATTGTATTACATGGTATTACTTTCATCGGCAGCCATTGTGGCTCAATGCAGTACGGTAGTTTCCTAGCTACCCATTGTGGTGAACCATAAGGATCACTGTAACTGTACAGACACCAGAGACAGGAAGTGTGCCCTTTGCTGTTCCAGAATGGATAGAGGATGCCACCCTGGCTGGTGCCCCCCTGGCCAGCTATACCGCCAACCACCAGGAGACCTACAGGGACACCCAGGCCGGACCCCCACTGCCACCCCTCATCGGGCCCAAACGTGAGTCCTGGTCTGGTCAATATCCTAGTTTTGTGAGGGTATTGGTCCATTTCTGTTTGCGACATTGTGGATGTGTTCCCTCATCTCGCCCCTCTCTCTCTCTCTCGTTCACCTCGCTCTCTCACTCACTCACTCACTCACTCTCACTCTCTCGCTCTTTCTCCATCTCTGTAAGCTCAGGCCCCTGACTGGCGCTGCCCAAAGCAACTCAAGGCCTTGATATTCCACCACACAAATCTCTCTTTTTACACAGCACTTTTAAGTCACCCTGCTTTCAAGTTCCTACACCCACTTCTCTTTAGTAAAAAAGAAAACTCCTCCTCAGTGTTACTGCGTTGGTCTGCCTCTTTTGTCTTGAATTATTTCAAGGCAAACAGAAGGACACTGGCTGACTCCAAAGGTAATACATTTTTCATTGTATGCATAAGCTGTACTCCTCAACCATATAAGTGTACCATCTGCGGTTTGTTAGTCACTTTCCAATCCCTTGCGGCCATCTTCCCTGCTTTAATGTCTCCCTTTTCATTCCATCCGCTTCCTTCCACAGTCAATATATAACTTCAATAAACTCTGAATATCTCACTCCATCTCCCACATAAACTCTGTGAACATTTGTCCAACTGACAGCAGGACTGGAGCCAGTCATAGTAGAAGAGACTGAGGAATTGGATCTAGATTACAGACTCCAGACTCTAGCAGTACTTATTTCATAAGACCGACTTGGAGTCCATTTGCCTAAGCTATATGAGTCTGCTGCCAACCCCATGTCTAAAATATACCTCCCGAGTGGCCCAGCGTCGTCCAGGGTAGGGGAGGGAATGGCCGGCAGGAATGTTGGTAGAGCATGGCGTTTGCAACGCCAGGGTTGTGGGTTCGATTCCCACGGGGGGACAGTATGAAAAATATAAATAAATAATGTATGCACTCACTAACTGTAAGTCGCTCTGGATAAGAGTGTCTGCTAAATGACTAAAATGTAAAATGTAAATGTAAACACCAGACTAGAAAGATAGTTCAGTGCTGTCTTGGTCTCTATTCACTGGCAGTCTTGGTGGCACGCCAGGGTTTTACACATAAGCTTATAAACATATATTTCTAAATCACTGGAAATTAGTCTATGATAATAACCCCTCACACTCACAAACACACAATTCCTTCCCATCCTAGTGTCAAGCCTTGAAAAGCTCTTGTACACTGTTGGCTGCCATGTACAGTACCAGTCAAAAGTTTGGACACACCTACTCATTCCAGGGTTTTTCTTTATTTTTACTATTTTCTACATTGTATAATAATAGTGAAGACATCAAAAATATGAAATAACACATATGTTAAACAAATCAAAATATATTTTATATTTGAGATTCCTCAAAGTAGCCACCCTTTGCCTTGATGACAGCTTTGCACACTCTTGGCATTCTCTCAACCAGCTTCATTAGGTAGTCACCTGGAATGCATTTCCAACAGTCTTGAAGGAGTTCCCACATATGCTGAGCACTTGTTGGCTGCTTTTCCTTCACTCTGCGGTCCAACTCATCCCAAACCATCTCAATTGGTTTGAGGTCGGGTCATCTGATGCAGCACTCCATCACTCTCCTTCTTCGTCAAATAGCTTTTACACAGCCTGGAGGTGTGTTGGGTCATTGTCCTGTTGAAAAACAAATGATAGTCTCACTGAGCGCAAACCAGATGGGATGGCGTATCGCTGCAGAATGTTGTGGTAGCCATGCTGGTTAAGTGTGCCTTGAATTCTAAATAAATCAGACAGTGTCACCAGCAAGCACCCCCAAACCATCACACCTCCTCCTCCATGCTTCTCCATGCTTCATCCGTTCACCTACTCTGCGTCTCACAAAGACACGGCGGTTGGAACCAAACATCTCTAATTTGGCCTCATTAGACCAAACGACAGATTTCCACTGGTCTAATGTCCATTGCTCGTGTTTCTTGGCCCAAGCAAGTCTCTTCTTATTATTGGTGTCCTTTAGTAGTGGTTTCTTTGCAGCAATTAGCTTGTCACAACACAACTGATTGGCTCAAATGCATTAAGAAGGAAAGAAATTACACAAATTAACTTTTAACAAAGCACACCTGTTAATTGAAATGCATTGCAGGTGACTAGAGTCATGAAGCTGGTTGAGAGAATGCCAAGAGTGTGCAAAGCTGTCATCAAGGCAAAGGGTGGCTACTTTGAAGAATATCATGTATAAAATATATTTGGATTTGTTTAACACTTTTTTGGTTACTACATGATTCCATATGTGTTATTTCATAGTTTTGATGTCTTCACTATTATTTTACAATTTAGAAAATAGTAAAAATAAAGAAAAACCCTGGAATGAGTAGCTGTGTCCAAACTTTTGACTGGTACTGTATATAGTACTGCACCACAGTGTAATCATACACTTTTAGAATTTACAGTGAATATTATTTGACTACTCATCTAACCATGCTGCCAGACCCAGATAAAATCCTGAGTTTGACCCAATAGTGTAACACTCCATACGGGATAGCAGCCCCCACAGACTGGGGCTGTGGCTCGGTCTGGGGGATTTACCCATAGGATTACCCCTATTCTCAGGCACAACCAGGCTGGTGCCACCTAGCTCTTGGAATCCCTCTTAGCCTAATTAATCTATCAATCATAATCAATCCCTTTATGATTACTGGAGCTCATCAAACCAACACATCTCTTACAGAGCACTCACTGATCCAGAGCCAAGACTGGTTAGGGTAACCCCTCCTCCTTTGGCTAGCACAGCACATGAGATCAGCGGGTCCTTATGAAAGGTATGTAAGGCTTATGTGTGTGTGTGTTCCCCAGGAGGGAAGCCCTTCTTCACGAGGAACCCGGCGGAGCTGAAGGGAACCTTTATCAACACCAAACTAAGGAAGAGCCACCGAGGGTTTGGCTTCACCGTTGTCGGGGGCGACGAGCCTGATGAGTTCCTACAGATTAAGAGTCTGGTTCTGGACGGACCTGCTGCCGTCGACGGCAAGATGGAGACAGGTGGGCCTCCGCTCTGTCGTTCCGTGTCATTATTAAGAGGTGGTCACAAACTCTTTGAGAGCTACAGAGGGTGCAGGCTTCTGTTCCAACCATGCACTAAAACAGTTGACTTATCAAGCTTGGTTGATTAACTGAATCTGGTGCTCTCCAGGATCCGGGTGGGTGAGCACTGAATGGTGTACGTGTTATAGTGTAGTGTAGGTGTTCTAATTGAGCAATATACAGTTCAAGTGTTACTTCCGTGATTTGAAGTGTTACTTCCAATTTGTGACATGTAGTTAATTATCCAACATGAATTTAACCTTCTCTTCCCCTAGGTGACGTGATCGTGAGTGTCAATGACACATGCGTGCTGGGCTACACCCACGCCCAGGTGGTGAAGGTCTTCCAGTCCATCCAAATCGGCTCCATGGTCAACCTGGAGCTGTGCCGTGGCTACCCCCTGCCCTTTGACCCTGACGACCCCAACACTAGCCTGGTGACCTCCGTGGCCATCGTGGACAAGGAGCCTATCATCATTAACGGCCAGGAGAGCTACGACTCCCCATCCAGCCACGGCAGCCAGACCGGAGGCCCCGTTAACGGGTTGAGAGAGTCAGGACCCCACAGCCCCTCCTCCGCCGAGGTGGCATCCAACGGCTCGCACGGTTACCCCAGCGACTCGGTGACGCTGGCGTCGTCCATAGCAACGCAGCCAGAGCTGATCACAGTGCACATGGAGAAGGGAGACAAAGGCTTTGGGTTCACCATCGCAGACAGCCCTGCAGGGGGAGGACAGAGGGTCAAACAGATCGTAGACTACCCCCGCTGCAGGGGCCTGAAGGAGGGGGACATTATTGTGGAGGTGAACAAGAGGAACGTCCAGAGCATGAGCCACAACCAGGTGGTGGACCTGCTCAGCAAGTGCCCCAAAGGAAGTGAGGTCACCATGCTGGTGCAGAGAGGTGGAGGTAAGACATAGACACACTAAACCGGACCAACATTTTGAGTTCTGGTTGGCAAGCTTTCCTCTTACTCCCGCGTCTTCTCTCCGTCGCCATTTTCAGGAATCTGGAAGTTGAAAAAAATTGTTTTGTTAGATAACGGTTAATGACACGCTCTGGAACTTTGGGCTGAATGTTTCAATGTGTAGTTCATACATGCAGAATCTATGAGCAGAATTACTGTCTTACCTCGATTAGCCACAACATCCCTAGTTTGAAAGCGACTGTTTTTCTGGAAGCTGTGCTATGCCATTTTCCCCCATGTGGGCCAGCCCCCTAGCAGTTTGAGTTGTAATCAATGAGCTTCAGCCCCTCGCCATGAGTGACAGCTAGCAAGATGCACACACAGCAGAGCGAGAGAAAGAGCAGTGATGTGGTACGCAATTTTCGGGGACCACTTTTGGCTCGTGAGCGCTACTATCAGAACTACTGGCTCAGAAGTATGCAAAAGTACTGAAGAATCTCTTTAACCTCAAAGTCTAAGCCTTTTTGGGGGGGAATAACGATTTGAAGTGTCTGCCCTATATCTAAGAGATATAAGAAAGCTCAGGAAATATTTGTTTTTTTGGACACACATTGGACACATATTTAACCCCTTATTTTTGTTGGCACAAAACTACCTCCATACTTCCATTCGTTTGTATGGGTTAACTTCAGACGAGTCCCGTATTAGTTTGTAGCTCAAACGGTTCGGACGCTACAGACAGAAGTTGGCACATCAGCGTTACCGACTTACTTACTTACTTCAGACGAGTCCCGTGACACTTGTGGGGGTGGTAGAGCTAAATGGAAAACACCATTGTGAGAGTCTCTCCTTTCCATAGAGTAGTTTGTAGGCCAAACCTTTCGGACGCTACAGTGAGAAGACCGATTTTCGGGATGTCTCATGGTCTGACAAACACCGCTGTAGCTCTGCCACCTTCCACCGCAGATGCAGAAGGCCGCCATAGCTTATACTGACGGATTTTGATGGGGATTTTTTTATTATGTTACTAAGATTGATGAACGGGTGCGTCAATACACTCTTAAGGATAGGTTATCCCTAAAACAACACAAAAGAGAAAGTTACGTTATTGAGATCCAATTGTGGTGTCTAATTTTTTCCACCCTAGCTTTGTGTGTATGTGTGTGTGTCCATGTGCGTTTGTGCCTGCGAGCGTGCAGATTTGACTGTGTCTGTGCCATTAAACGTTCTATTGAGAACTCAGGACAGGATTTTGACAAGGTGTATGATTGGAAAAATGGTCTCACAAAAGAGCTGAAGAGAAGACTCAGTGTATGATGGGGAATGATTGAATTTTGGTCTCACTCCAATCCCCAGACAGACAGTACCCACTACCCAGAACACACCTCCACAAAGAGCCCTGACTCACACTGAGAGAGACATGTAATTGGAACGTTTTCACTGAGACAGAGCGGTTAGAACTGGCATTGGAAGTTCTCTGAATTATTCATTTGTGGAATTGAAGGACCTGAACATCCGTCCTGTAATGCTCAGTGTTGAGAAACGGAACAGGACATTGACTCGGCGCTCTGCTCTCACAAATTGCTATGCTCCTCTCCCTGTCTTGCTTTATTAATGACCGCCATTAGTCTGAGGGGGCTGTGTACAAGCTCATAAAATGCTACAGCCAGTACGCATTTTATGGATTGTCAATAACACAAAATGTTTGTGCGTTTAACAGAGACTCCCTGGACCAGAGAGCGGTGAGCAGGGTGGGCGGGACGGTTAGAGAGTATCATTCCTCAATGTGTCATGGATGGAAGACTGAGCTGATATGAAAGCAAAGAGCAAAGCAGAGACATGCTTTAGGTCTATACAGAGTGTGCCACTACTCTCTGGAAAGCAGAGGACTACTCAGCACAGGATTGCTTTGACAATTTACCTTGAAAACATGTGGTGAACCTATTGACTCATGAGTGTCATGTATGGGTAGTACAAATATTACGAGTTCTCTTTCTCTATGGTTCACGTAGTTCATAGTTCAGTGGGTGCTACATGTCATAAAGCTCTGTCCTCTCAGTGGGTGCTACATGTCATAAAGCTCTGTTCTCTCAGTGGGTGCTACATGTCATAAAGCTCTGTTCTCTCAGTGATCATTGCTCTCAGTCTGAGCTCTGCTCTGAGGTTGTGTGTGTGGATCAGACAGCTAAGATATTGCCTGCCCCCCCGCAGACAGCAGGATCTATCTGCCTATCTTAATTACTCTGCGCTCCTCAGACCGCTAATTGGGGGGGGTCTGATGTCAGCATCACCTCTCTCTCCCTCTTTTTCTCTCTCTCTCTCTCTCTCTCACTCTCGCTCTCGCTCTGTCTCTCTCTCGCTCTCGCTCTGTCTCTCTCTCTCGCTCTGTCTCTCTCTCTCTCGCTCTGTCTCTCTCTCTCTCGCTCTGTCTCTCTCTCTCTCGCTCTGTCTCTCTCGCTCTGTCTCTCTCTGGGCATGAGAGTGTCACCAGTTAGTCCACACAGCCAATTACAACCCTTTGCCAGGGAGCCAGAGGAAACCTCTAATTGGCAGAGATCTGCCCCCTCACCCTCCTCCTCCTTTCCCATCCCCCCTTCCAGTGTGTAGAGATTCCTGCCCGCGCGTATATGGTCCAATCACGGGGGATCTCGGCGCATACAATACACTGAGCTCATTAAGGCCTGTATATGGAACAGTGTTCCTCAACACTGCAGGTGAGCTCACTGGCCCCCCAGCACAAAACTAGATTCTTCTCATCCTCCTCTTTCTCACTGATGATGGTGGACACTGCATAAGTCTCCATACTGAACCGTGTCTATATGATACACCAAAGGTCCTGTGTGAGTGTCTCCCGTCTTTTGTTGTTCTGCATCCTTTTGTCTTCTTGAGCCAGGGGATGTGATTAATAGCCAGGGGGTGTGATTAATAGCCAGGGGGTGTGATTAATAGCCAGGGGGTGTGATTAATAGCGTCCATCAAAGATGCCATTATGATGCCCATCCCTCCATTTGTCTAATTATGCTGCCTAATGTGCTCCTTTTCTCCGCCTTCCTTCTGAAACGTTCTGATTCGGCTGACATAATTCATTCTAGCCCCAAAAGACACACACTTCCTGTGAATTTCCTTGAAGCGTGCCTGTGAATGGGTGTAAATGTCAGTGGCCTACAGGGATGGGAGAGGTGGTACAGCCAGCATCGGTTGTATTCCATGCAGAGCCAGTGTGAGGAGAATACCCAAGTGCTAGGCTAGCTCTCTATAGCCCCACAGCCTCCCTCATTATCCACCCAGATAAATCCAAGTCAGAATCCCATTCCTGTGCTTTAAAGGTATCCATTCATTTGTTTGTTAGGCTGGGCATGGTGGACAATACAATAGATGCATACACCACCACAGGCAATCTTCTGCTGCTGCTATGGCTTAGCATCTCAACCACTGCAGAGGAGGAGAGGAAGGAGAGAGGATGTCAGAGGGTCAGAGGCGGGAGGATGATGAAAGAGTGGCACAGCGACACCCCTGTCGATCTGTTCATCTTCTGAGACATCCACCAGAGGTGACAGGGTCGTTCCCGGCGGGACTGGGCCCTTGCACTCCTCATTCCCCCGGAGCGGAGTGAGTGATAGAGGGAGGATGAACAGGGTCAGGATATGGCCAGTGAGGATGTGTGCCGGTCTGATAATAACCTATCCATCCACTACGCTGTAGCTTTATGCCAGTGGGCTGAAGCGAAATGACCAATGTAGTCTACACCTACTGTTTTTACTTTGTCTATGTTTTTGGGATGTTTTGTGTCTCAGTAAGAGGGTTCGAAGGTCTCTAAGCCAATGTCCAACAAGTGTAATATTATAGCCAATATTTATCTTTCCTCTGTGTCTTCACCCGGGGCTTTATGTGCTGTGGAGCGTGATAGACTGTGCCTCTCAGACAGTGCAAGATGGTTGTTTCTGCTCAGTGTTGGGTTGTTGTAGAAGAGCAGCCAGAGTGCTGCTAGGAAGGAGACATCTCTTATCTCCACCCTGCTTTAGACTTTCTGCTGCTAACAGAGTGGAGCGCAGGCTTTGTAAACGCTGCTTCTGTTACAATAACTCAGATCACTGTCCTCGTCGGAGACACGAACACACCCACCCTGAGATAAAAGGAATTGATTTAATGTAGATAGATACACTACATGACAAAAAGTATGTGGACACATGCTTGTCGAACATCTCATTACAAAATCATGGGCATTAATATGGAGTTGGTGCCCCCTTTGCTGCTATAACAGCCTCCAGTCTTCTGGGAAGGCTTTCCACTATATGTTGGAACATTGCTGTGGGGACTTGCTTCCATTCAGCCACAAGCGTTATTGAGGTTGGTGTTACGCACGCCTCTCAGAAGAGGGAACGCAACACCCTGCTACAACTCAAATCTCCGTGGTGTGAAAGAGGTATGGGACTGTAGGTGTGAGTAAGGATGACAAAAGGCAGAGAATACCGTTAACAGGGAATTTTATTCCTTCGCACGGTAAGTTTGGGGAAAAGGGGCTGGACGCAACCAAAGCAAAGAAAGTAAATATCAAAGCCCCCTCTCCTACCTTACCTGCCTACCCACTACTTACTTAACTAGCACCACCTGGTGCACTAACCAAAATACAAGGGATGGTCCGCCCAGGTCTTTCCTAGTGTGCATAGACAGTCAACTTCTACGGGTAATGTATGCCCGCGGGCCTCTTGCCTAAGCACTCCCTAGGTGCCTTCCCCTTCCCCCCTTGGGAACAAATGAAACAAAAATAGCACAAACTGGTTCACAACAAAACCTGAGAAAAAAACTAACTCAGGACATTAAAGAAACTCTGAGCCACAAACTAACACAAAACATTACAAATGGTTCTCAGCGCAACAACAACACAGTACATACCAAACTCTTAGCATACAACCAACATGCTGTAACTCTCAGCAATTCTTGTTCCCCTTTTCTGCCTTTTCTGAGCAACTGGGGCTTATATAGCTTCAGGAGGAGTTGGTAAATTGGAGACAGCTGCGTCCTGACGAGGGCGCGGTGTCAGCTCTCCAATCATCAATGTTTTTCAACTCAATCAGCTGCTTGTTGGGGAATTTCAGGAACCCATTTCCTGAAATACCTACATGAAAATACACAAACCACAACATAGAAACTGGGGAACGTAACAGTCGGGCACTGATGTTGGGCGATTAGGCCAGGCTCGCAGTCAGCATTCCAATTCAACCAAAAAGTATTAGATGGGATTGAGGTCAGGGCTCTGTGCGGACCAGTCAAGTTCTTCCACACCGATCTTGACAAACCATTTTTGTATGGACCTCGCTTTGTGTATTGTCATGCTGAAACAGGAAAGGGCCTTCCCCAAGCTGTTGCCACAAAGTTGGTAGCACAGAATCATCTAGAACGTCATTGTATGATGTAGCATTAAGATTTCCCTTCACTGGAACTAAGGGGCCTAGCCCGAACCATGAAAAACAGCCCCAGACCATTATTCTTCCTCCAACAAACTTTACAGTTGGCCCTATGCATTCGGTCAGGTAGCGTGCTCCTGGCATCCGCCAAACCCAGATTAGTCCGCTGGACTGCCAGATGGTAAAACGTGATTCAGAACGCGTTTCCACTGCTCCAGAGTCCAATGGCGGTGAGCTTTACACCACTCCAGCCGACGCTTGGCATTGCGCATGGTGATCTTAGGCTTGTGTGCGGCTGCTCGGCCATGGAAATCCATTTCATGAAGCTCCCAACAAACAGTTAGTGCTGATGTTGAGCCCAGAGGAAGTTTGGAAGTCGATATTGAGTGTTGCAACCGAGGACAGATGATTTGTACGCGCTACACGCTTCAGCATTCGGCGGTCTCGTTCTGTGAGCTTTAGTGGCCTACTACTTTGCGGCTAAGCCGTTGTTGCTCCTAGACGTTTCTACTTCACAATAACAGCACTTACAGTTGACCAGGGTAGCTCTAGTAGGGTAGACGCACTGACTTGTTGGAAAGGTGGCATCCTATGACGGTGCCATGTTGAAAGTCACTGAGCTCTTCAGTAAGGCCATTCTACTGCCAATGTTTGTCTATGGAGATTGCATGGCTGTGTGCTCGATTTTATACACCTGTAAGCAACAGGCGTGGCTGAAATAGCCAAATCCACTCATTTGAAGGGGTGTCCACATACTTTTTTATATACTGTATAGTGTAGCTTTATTTGACCATTTAAAACGCAATACAACCACATGTGGATAATGCATTTAAAATCATTGAGGATAACACAAAGTTTGAAAACGTATTTCCATTGTTGTCCTCTTAAATGGTTCCAAAAATTCACGAACATAACATAGTAGGCCTAACCTACTAGGCATACTTAGATTACACATATAACACATAACAAAACAAAGGACAGGATGACATTGTTATAGCCATAGTGCAGGACTCCCTCAGTAGATCAGCGATCTCAGGCTCCTAAACTGAGTTAGATGATGGTTTGATGATGGTGATGCCTAACATCTAAAATATGTAAAACATTTACAAAGATCTATCTTAGGCTGCCTTATGGCGCCATGTAAGGGCTGAAAGCACACTTTGCATAACGTTTTGCTGACTTCACGTTCAACGCTGATAACGAATGGCATTGCAGAGAAATTGTACAGAAATCCAATGATCGAGGAATAGAGTGCCAGCAGCTTGGCGACGCAAACGTGTCCAGATTCTGCCTCTGCACTTTTGGGCGACGGTCTTAGTGTGTGTATGAGCCAGAGTTACTGGCGTAACAAGGACAGGGTGAATCCACCTCCCCTCCAACCTCCTCCCCCTTCTCTTCACACCTCCATGTCGGGGGGGGGGGGGGGGGGGGGGGCATCTCGGCCTTCCTTTGTTTCCATGACAATACTCTGCAGCACTCTGCAGTGGGGCTTTCCTCTACGGTTGGGTGGTGTGTGTGTGTGCGTGTGTGACGGAGGGAGTGGGTCACCCCCCCATCCAATTCTCTCTAATTGTTATTTCTGCTCAGCATCGGAAGCTACTGCATAAGCCTCTCAGACAAAACATGGACAACTTGTATTACTCCAGCACTGGATGCTTTTCTCTTTACTGTGGGTGTGTGCTTCAAAGGCGAGGTTGCTAACATCTGCACCTTTTCCTGGTCACCTTTTCCATGTCACAAGACTGGGGTGCACCTATGTCACTTTGAATCCCATCTTCTATACATTCGCTACCCTGGGTAAATAAACCCATGCATTGGTCATCGCAGTTACGTCCATGACAGCCTATTTGTACATGGATGGCATGTGGCTCAGTCTCTACTGTGGAATAGCCTGGGCTGGCCTGCTGAGGCTGAGACAACCGTTGCCAAGAGACCATCTGTCAGTCCCCTGTGCGCCTGTTGCTGTCGCTGTTGTGACAGATGGGCTGGGCTGTCGGAAGCCATCCATCTGAGCCCAGATGGAGGAGGGGGGCCGAGACGTGGGCCCAGTGTACCCATTGGACATCATAATCTCCTCAGTAATAGCCTCCGTTTAGCAGCCGCTGTGGCCAGCGCCCTCTCCGACTGACCTGCAGCCTCTCTCTGTGGGCTGAGCAACATAGGGACCACTACAACCTACGTGAGGACAGTGGCAGAGGGTTTTAACTGGAGTGGCGTGATGGCATCACCAAAAATGGCAAATGAATAAATCACATATTGCGGTAGTGTATAAGTAGGTATGCTGTTTTCAGATGAAAACAACCATGGCTGATCAGTCACCTAAATCCATGTGACAAGCATGCTCAGTAGTGTGCTTTGAGTTTTAAAAGAAGGCTGGCTGAAGCCTGTGTTTTCTCTGTCCTGCTCAGTCCATCAGTGTGAGAACCAGCCATGCTAGTCCCCCTGTGTGTAATTAAGAGATGGAGGGTAGATGATGCTGTAAGCTGCATCGATAAGAACACTGGCTGATCCAGGGATCCGCACATGCCCAGTAGCACCGCCCTACCCCTGAAACACAGTGAGAAGTGAAGTAGCTACTAGCTAGCACATTTAGGACAACTCTACACTCTAAAAAGTAAATATTCCTGGAGGATCCTTTTAATGGATCCTCAAATAACCTTTTGAAGAACCTTTTGGGGTTAATTTTTGAACTCCCCCCTCCCCTATTATTAATAATAATAATATGCATAACAATAACAACAATAACACAAGATTTGAGAGAGGATAAGAAGGAAAGATTGAGGAGGTGATGAGAGTATAGCGTGGGTAGAGTGAGGGGAGGTGAGATGGAGAGGCTGCTCTGCTGCAGTGTATATGAAGGTTTAATGGCCCTCCAGAGGAGCCAGTGTGGAGTTGTGCAACAGACTGCAGAGGCAGATTAGACACGTAGTACACAGGATAATCAAGAAGAGATTGACACAAACACAGAGAGGTTGGGCTGGTCAAATGGTGTTGGAGAGGGCTATAGTGGAGGGGAGCAGGTAGGGGAAAAGAGGAGAGAGGGATTAGGGGAGTGAAGAGATTTGTTGAGATGAGCAGTGATGGAAGAGGAGAGGGGAGCATGCTCTAAGGTGGCTGGACTGTGGACCACATTACAGTGGCTGTTGAATACAGATGTTGAGGGGATAAGAGCCATAAAGAACTGCCTAATCCACCCCAATCCCCCAGATCTCCCTAAAGGATTTACACACAAACTGGCCCTGTTTTGTCAGGATCAGAGCTAGACACTTCACCCCATCCAATCATGTCTGCATGTACGCCTGCCCTTACACACTGAATACAATACATGTATGTTTTACTCATTCTCCACTTTATGCTGCTGAATACCATTATGCATGCACACACACACACACACACACACACACACACACACACACACACACATTGCTGTGGCATCATGCAGCTGTTTTTCATCCTGTACAGAAGCGACAGGGAAAAGCAAGGCCCTCCAAGGATCTAGGCTATGTTTCCATTTTAGTCTCCCACTAATCTCTGTTTGTGTTCATGGTTGAGGCTCTAATGATATTCCTGCCAGTGTGGGTCTCTATTAATGTATGAACATATTATTTATGCTAATGCAGGTCCTGCCTGTCAGAGCCTGCCTCCGATTGATGAGAGAGGGATGGAAAGAGTGGCGTGTGTGTGTGTGTGTGTGCGCGTGTGTGCGCATGTTTACTAGCGTGTGGGTGGAGGGGAGAGAAGGGGAGGGATGGTGAGGGGGAAAAGCAAGATCGAGAGAGCGAGAGATGAGGGGAGGGGGAAAAAGAGGAGAGGGAGAAAAAAGCGAGCGCTAGAGAGCGAGACAGGAGAAGAGCGGTGTGACTGCCTGTAGATGCTGGAGCCTTCGACAGCCGTGCGGCGTGCTGAATGGACGCAGAAAGATGGTCTCAGTAAGAGGGGAACTGACAGTTGCCTATAATTTAATGTTCAGTATCTTGGACTCCTTCTCCATGGGTATGATAGCTGAGTTAGCTCAGAGCTGCCCCTCTCTTGATCGCTCTTTCTACCCCTCTGTCTCTCTCTCTCTCTCTCACACACACACTCTTTCTTTCTCTCTGACAGTGGGTTAGGCAGGGTCTAGCGAGCGGAGCGCTTGGTTAGCCCTTGGGGTTGGCCCCTCTTCCGCTGCAGCAGTCAGCCACGGTGCTAATGCAGATAGATCGCGCTGCCCCCTTTAACGCGGTGCGCGGGAGGGTGGATGCGAGGGAACAAGCCAGAGAAAGAGAGGGAGAAGATAACTCAAGCAGAGACAAGCAGGCTAGCGCTGCTCCACCACTGGAGTCCCTGTTTGGAGTCCCCTGTCTGCTCAACGCTGTAGTTTTGTTCTTCTTTTTTTACCTGTGGGGAAGGTGAAATATTGTTGTGTGTCGTTAACACGTTTTTTTCTCTCTTTCTTGATCTGGATATTGCTTCCCAGGGGTGGCTCCTGCAAAGAAAAGCCCAAAGCTGGTGAGTACTGAAATGATCCATACCGCCCCCATCCACACATCCCTTCCATTCTCCTCCGTCCATCCCTCTCTCCACTCTCCTGTGTGGAGTGCTAATGTTGGTTGGTGTGTAGAGCATCCCAAAGCAGTGAGGGATTTTCTCTGTCAGGACTCCCGCTGTGTTTTGGTCCTGATGAGAGCTTTGATGCCCCGTGCGCTGGCTCGGAATAATGTTGTGTTGGGTGAAAGTGTTGTTGCTGGATGATAATGCTGTGCTGGTTGATTATGTTGACCCATTGGTAGGCAGAGCAGGCCTGCTCATGGATTTGTTTTTATTCTCTATGCCATGTTCTCATGTTCTCCTGGCTTAATGCATTCTAGGTAAATAGATCAGTGCATTAGGCCAGCCTTGGAAAAGTGTTCCAAGCTTGTGGTCCAAGTGTAGGGTTGATGTTTGAGAATAGCCCAGCTCTTCTTAGCTTCTATTTCTGGACCCCATGTAGAGTATGGAGAAGTCATGTGATGGCTAGAGACTGGACCACTGTCAGTCTGTGTTACCCTCTCCCTGTAGCCTATCTCTTGGGGGAGAAGCTGCCTGTGTGCTCTCTCTGTGTTGTATGAGGGAAGAATGGGGGTGGATGTGTGCTTCTGTGTTTTCCCCTCCTAGATGTATTCTCCCTTCAGGGTCGTTCCACCTCAAAAAGCACAGGATTTCGACACCCACCATCTCAGATTGTTCTGAAATCGGTTCTGTAGTTATTAACAGATACTATTAGCATTCCTGAATCATTATTTTGCTGAAAAATAATTAGATCTCTGAGAAATTAAGTTAGCTGATTTCACCCAAATTGGCTGTTTCAATTCATAGGATTCGGTTAATATTCAATAAATATTGTACCCAACATCTGATTTGGACCAAACTTCTTCCTACCAAAATGGTCAAAGGCCATCTACAGACCCCCCGAAGCCTATCCCACCCCAACAACCAGTATACAGTATCAGTTCTCAGTGTTTGAAGATGTGGTTTGGAGTATTGCTTCTTCATACTATGTAATGTATCCTTTGAATCTGGTGATGGGTTTTTTCCCTGTTCAGAGAAATTAGTCATTGAAGTCACTTGCATTGTTTACCATAAAGTAGTGTGAAAGTAGCATGTTTTGACCACTAGATACCCATGTTCCTACTTTATTGCCTCACTATTTTATCCATTTTGCTGGTCTCTTGTGTTTATTAAATAGATCACAACATTTCCTTTTGTAACTTTGTGTATAAAACCTATAGATTTGACTCATGATGAAAATACATGTTATGGTCACCTTAACAATTTAAATCCTTAATGAAAGCAATTCAGTTTGTCCTTCTCTTACGCTTAATCTGTGTCTTAGAAATGGCCCCTTTGTATGTGGTTTATTCATAAAAGGTCTGGATTAGTTACTGTTGGACCATTCCTGGTGAACAAGCAAACCATTAGGCTACAGCAGTTCTAATGGTTTCAATGTTATGGTCTTCAATGGTAAAAGTCCCAAACACACACTGTATAGTGTTTTGCAATGGTAATGGTATTGGGTTGGGTAGGGTTTATTGGTAAATGTCACTAATCACAATACATATAGAGCTGTTTTCTGATTATAATTTTTTTAACACGACACCATGCAATGTATTATTTTGTTAGGGTTGTCACAACATTTTAGTCCCTAGCCCATTTCTCCATCAAAGTTTTGGGCTTGTAGGAAAACTCTTCATATGAGAATTGTACCATATGGATAGCCCTCTCAGAGAGCTGCCACTTGTTGGACAATTCAATGAGAGTTGGGTTGAAGTGTTGGGTTGCTAAGATAAGGACAAACTGAATTGGCTTTTTTATTGACCGTTACTTCGACAGGGAAGTCCCCTGTAGCTCAGTTGGTAGAGCATGGCGTTTGCAACGCCAGGGTTGTGGGTTCGTTTCCCACGGGGGGCCAATATGAAAATGTATGCACTCACTGTAAATCGCTCTGGATAAGAGCGTCTGCTAAATGACAAAAAAAAAAAATTGTTAAAAAATATATTGAGACTAAAGTCTCTTTTACAAATGAGCCCTGCACAATATAAAACACAGACATGGAGGACTGGCTTCAATTGTGAGGATGACCATAAAATTGGTTTTGATCATGAGCCAAATCTATTGGTTTTCTACCCAAAGCTGCAAAGGAAATGCTGTGATCTATTTAATAAACACTTAAGAGCCCAGCAAAATGGATAAAAGTGTGTTGGTATAGCAGGACAGCGGCATCTACTGGTCAAAATATGTTACTTCCACACTTCTTTATGGTAAATAATGCAAGCAACTTCAATGACTAATTCTCTGAACATGGAGGGAAAAAAACATCACCAGATTCACAGGGAATACGTTACATAATATGAAGAAGCAATGCTCCAAACCACACCTGTATACTACTTGTCAAACATAGAGAACTGATGCTGTATACTGGTTGATTGGTGTGGGGTGTCCGTGGCTTTCAACCATTTAATTTATTCCTCATGTCTTACTTATTGGTAGGAAGTTTGGTCCAAATCGGATGTTTGGTACTAAATTTATTGAATATTATCTGAATCGTATCAATTTTAATGGCCAATTTGGGTGCAATCAATTAGCTTAATTCTCCAAAATCAACTTACATTTCAACAAAAGTATGTTTCAGGAATGCCAATATAACTATTTTTAACTACAGGAACAAATTCTGAACAATCTGAGATGGTGGGTGTCATGGCTTACTGAAATGACATGAAATTACTCTTTAGTTAAACAACCTCCTCACTGCTACTGTATGTCTCTGAATGTCTCCTCATGCATTGGGGAATAGGGTCTGCCATTAATGTATTCAGCTCTGTGTTGAACAAAAGGAATAGACTATATACTGTCAGCCGAGCTCAGGTTTTTTTCTGTTAGGAGTTTGACTTCATATTTGAATTACTCTATGTGAAACTACAGTGAATGTTTCACTTTCTCAAAAATACATCTCATGAACAAATCTGCTTGATTATACCTTGGGTATTGTTAGAGAATGTGTTTCTGGTTGACATCACTGGCCTTGATTAAAAAATATGCATTTTGACTTACTTCTGTAATATGTACAGTGAGGGGAAAAAAGTATTTGATCCCCTGCTGATTTTGTACGTTTGCCCACTGACAAAGACATGATCAGTCTATAATTTTAATGGTAGGTTTATTTGAACAGTGAGAGACAGAATAACAACAAAAAAATCCAGAAAAACGCATGTCAAATATGTTATAATTGATTTGCATTTTAATGAGGGAAATAAGTATTTGACCCCTCTGCAAAACATGACTTAGTACTCCAGGACCTTAATGTGCTTCTTCTTGAGCCACTCCTTTGTTGCCTTGGCCGTGTGTTTTGGGTCATTGTCATGCTGGAATACCCATCCACAACACTTTCACCCAGTTCTCCTCTGAATCATTCAGATGTTCATTGGCAAACATCAGACAGGCATGTATATGTGCTTTCTTGAGCAGGGGGACCTTGCGGGCGCTGCAGGATTTCAGTCCTTCACGGCGTAGTGTGTTACCAATATATTTCTTGGTGACTATGGTCCCAGCTGCCTTGAGATCATTGACAAGATCCTCCCATGTAGTTCTGGGCTGATTCCTCACCGTTCTCATGAACTCCACGAGGTGAGATCTTGCATGGAGTCCCAGGCAGAGGGAGATTGACAGTTATTTTGTGTTTCTTCCATTTGCGAATAATCGCACCAACTGTTGTCACCTTCTCACCAAGCTGCTTGGCGATGGTCTTGTAGCCCATTCCAGCCTTGTGTAGGTCTACAATCTTGTCCCTGACATCCTTGGAGAGCTCTTTGGTCTTGGCCATGGTGGAGAGTTTGGAATCTGATTGATTGATTGCTTCTGTGGACAGGTGTATTTTATACAGGTAACAAGCTGAGATGAGGAGCTCTCCCTTTAAGAATGTTTCTGATAGGGAGGGGGTCAAATACTTATTTCCCTCATTCAAATGCAAATCAATTCATGCGTTTTTCTGGATTTTGTTGTTGTTATTCTGTCTCTCACTGTTAAAATAAACCTACCAATAAAATTATAGAATGATCATTTCTTTGTCAGTGGGCAAACGTACAAAATCAGCAGGGGATCAAATACTTTTTTCCCTCACTGTATTTATTTCTCTTTACCACTCTCTCTTACTCTGTCTATCCCTCTCCTTCTTACTCTATGTCTCTCTTTCTGACAATCCTTCTTCTCCCCCTCCACCTTTCTTTCCCTATCTTACTCCTTCTATTCACCTCTTACCCCGTCTTACTCCTTCTATTCACCTCTTTTCGTCTTACTCCTTCTATTCACCTCTTACCCTGTCTTACTCCTTCTATTCACCTCTTACCCCGTCTTACTCCTTCTATTCACCTCTTTTCGTCTTACTCCTTCTATTCACCTCTTACCCTGTCTTACTCCTTCTATTCCCCTCTTTCCCTCTCTTACTCCTTCTATTTCACCGTCTTCCCAGGTCGTTAATCCTTCTATTTCAACCTCTCTCCCCTGTCTTAATCCTTCTATTCACCTTTCTTCCTGCCTTAATCCTTCTATTCAACTCTTTCCCTGTTTTACTCCTTATATTCCCCTCTTTCCCTGTCTTACTCCTTCTATTCACCTCTTTCCCGGTCTTACTCCTTCTATTCACCTCTTTCCCGGTCTTACTCCTTCTATTCACTCTTTCCCTGTCTTACTCCTTCTATTCACCTCTCTTCCTGTCTTACTCCTTCTATTCACCTCTCTTCCTGTCTTAATCCTTCTATTCACCTCTCTTCCTGTCTTAATCCTTCTATTCACTCTCTTCCTGTCTTACTCCTTCTGTTCACCTCTCTCCCTGTCTTACTCCTTATATTCCCCTCTCTTCCTGTCTTACTCCTTCTATTCACCTCTCTTCCTGTCTTAATCCTTCTGTTTCACCTTTTCTTCCCGTCTTAAATCCTTATTTCCCCTTTTTTCCTGTCTTAATCCTTTTTATCCAAACCCCCTATTTCCTTCTTTTTTCCTTTGTTCACCTCTTTTCCCCGTTTACTCCTTTATTCCCCTCTTTCCCAGGGCTTACTCCTTCTATTTTCCCCCCTTTTCCCCGTCTTACTCCCTTTTATTCCCCCTTTTTCCCTGTCTTACTTCCCCTATTCCCCCCTTCCCTGGGCTTATCCTTATTCAAACCCCTTTCCCCGGGCTTACTCCTTCTTTCACCTCTCTTCCCGTCTTAATCCTTTTTCACCTCTCTTCCGTCTTACTCCCTTTTATTCAACCCTCTTCCCTGTCTTAATTCCCTTTTTTTCCCCTCTCCCCTTTTCCCCTTTTCCCTTTTATTCACCTGGTTTCCCGCTTACTCCTTTATTAAACCCCTTTTCCTGTCCCCCTTAAATTTTATTTATTTTCCCCCCTTTCCTTTTCTTACCCCCTTTAAGCACCTCTTTCCCCCTTGTTACTTGGGTTTATTCACCTCTTTTCCCTTTTTTTACTCCCTTTTTTAACCCCCTTTCCCTGTCTTACTCCTTTATTAAAAATCTTTTTCCTGTTACTTTTTATATTCACCCCCCCCTTCCGGGCTTAATCCTTCATTCCCCTCCTTCCGTTTTTACTCCCTTTTATTACCTGTTCCCCGTTTTTTCCTTTTATTCACCCCTCTCCCGTTTAATCATTCCCATTCCCCCCCCCCTTTTCCCGTCTTTCTCCTTCTATTCACCTCTTTCCCTGTTTTTATTTTCTTCTATTCACCCCTTTTCCCCCCTTACTTTTCTATTCACCTCTTTCCTCCTTAATCCCCCTTTTTTCCCCCCTTCCCCCCTGTCTAAAACCTTATATTCCCCCCTTTCCCCGTCCCTTTAAAACCCCCCTTTTTAAACCCCTTTCCCCCGTCTTTCTCCTTATATTCCCCTTTTCCTGTCCACTCCCTTTTATTCAAATCTCTTCCCGTCTTCCAAAAAACCTTATTCACCTCTTTTCCCTTTTCTTCCTTTCCCTTTTATTTACCTCTTTCCCCGTCTTTCTCAAAATTCCCCTCTTTCCCTTTTCTTAATCCTTCTATTAAACCCCTTTTCCCCGTCTTTCTCCTTCTATTCCAAACCCCTTTCCCTGGGGCTTTCTCCCCTTTTATTCCCCCCTTTTTTCCCCCCGGGCTTAACCCCCCTTTTTCCCCCTCTTTCCCCGTCTTACCCCCTTCTATTCACCCTTTCTTCCCCCCTTTAAAACCTTCTACTCACCTCTCTTTCCCGTCTTACTCCTTTTTATTAAATCCCTCCCTTTCTTTCCCTTATATTTCCCCCTCTTCCCCGTCTTACTTTTTCCCTTCCCCCTTCCCCCTTTTTCCTGTTTTTAATCCTTCTTTCCCCTCCCCCTTCCCCGTCTTAAACCCAATTTACCTCTCTTCCTGCCTTAATTCCCTTTTATTTACCCCTTTCCCGGGTTTTTCTCCTTTTTATTCACCTCTTTCCCTTTTTCTTTCCCCTTTTATTTACCCCTTTTCCCCTTTTTACTCCTTTAAATTTCCCCCTTTTTTGGGCTTTCTCCTTTTATTCCCATCTTGCCCCTTTACCCTTCTATTTACCTCTTTCCCGTCTTAACCCCCATTTCACCTCTTTCCCGGTTTTTCTCCCTTTTTATTCAAATCTTTTTCCCCGTCTTTCTCCTTATAAAGCCCCCCCTTTTCCCGGTTTCCCTTCTATTCAATTTTTTTCCCTGTCTTTTTCTCCCTTTTATTCCCCCCCTTTCCCGCTTACTCCTTTTATTCCCTCTTTCCCCGTCTTACTCCCCTTTTATCACCCCCCCTTTTCCCCCCTTTAAACCCCCCATTTTACCTCTCTTTCCCGTTCCCAAAACCTTCTATTCCCCTCTCTCCCTGTCTTTTTTTTTTCAAAACCCTTATTCCCCCCCTTTTAAATTTTATTCACCTTCCCTTTCCCCGTTTTAAATCCTTATAAATTTCCCCCCGTTCCCTGTCTTTCTCCTTCTTCAAATCTTTCCCGGTCTTTCTTTTCTATTCACCTCTCTTCCTGTCTTTTCTCCTTTTTATTCCCCCCCCCCCTTTCCGGCTTAAACCTTCTATTTTACCTTCTTTCCTTTTCTTACCCGTATTTACCCACTCTTTCCGTCTACCCCTTCATTCACCTTCTTCCCTGTCTTAATCCTTTAGTCACCTCTTTCCTGGGCACTCCTTTTTATTCACATCTTTCCCTGGTTTACTCTTATATTCCCCCCCTTTTAAATTTTTACTCCTTTTATTCACCCTATCCCGGGCCTTTTCCCCTTTTAAAATTCCCCCCTTTCCCTGTCTTTTCTTTATTTCACCTCTTTTCCCCGTCTCAATCCTTATATTCCCCTCTTTCCCTGTCTTCCCAAATTTTTTTCAATCTCTTCCTGTCTTACTCCTTCTATTTTACCTTTTCCCTGTTTTAAAATGCTTCTTTCACCTCTTTCCCCCGTTTTAATCATTCTAAATTCCCCCCCTTTTTCCCCGTTTAATCCTTTTTATTTCCTCTCTCCCCGTCGTAACCTTTATTCAACCCCCTCTTCCCCCTTTTAATCCCTTTCTTTTCACCTCTCTTCCCGTCTTACTCCTTTTTATTTTAACCCCCTTCCCCCCCTGTTTATCCTTATATTTTCCCCCCTCTTTCCCGCTTATCCTTTTATTTAACCTTCTTTCCCGTTTAACCTTTTATCACCCTCTTTTCCCCCCTTAATCCTTCTTTTTCCCACCCCTCCCCTGCCTAAATTTCCCTTTTATTCCCCCCTCTCCCTTTTCTTAAACCTCTATTCCCCCCCTCCCCTTCCTTTAACCTTCTTTCCCCTTTCCCCGTCTTAATCCTATTCACCTCTCTTCCTGCCTTAATCCTTCTATTCACCTCTTTCCCCGGGTTTTTCTCCTTTTATTCCTCTTTTCCCCGTCTTACTCCCTTTTTTTCACCCTTTTTCCCGGTCTTTCTCCCTTTTTTTTTTCCCCATCTTTCCCCGTCTTACTCCTTTATTACCTCTTTCCCTTTTTTTCCCTTTTAATTTCCCCTCTTGCCCTGTCTTCTCCTTCTATCAACCCCCTTTCCCCCTTTTTGTTTCTCCCCTATTCACCCTTTTTTCCCGGTTTTTTCTCCTTCTATTCCTCTTTTTCCCCCTCTTTCTCCTTATATTTCCCCCCTTTCCCCCTCTTTACTCCTTCTATTAAAATCTTTTTCCCCCTCTTACTCCTTATATTCCCCTCTTTTTCCCGGGGGTTAAATCCTTAATTTTCCAAAAAACTTCCGGTCTTATCCTTTTTTTCACCCCTTTTTCCCCGGGCTTTCCTCCCTTTTATTCCCCCCTTTTTTCCCGTCTAAAAAACCCTTTTATTCCCCCCCCTCCCTGTCTTAATCCTTTATTTTAACCCCCTTTCCTGCCTTAATCCTTTTATTCACCTTTTCCCTGTTTTACTCCTTCATTCAACCCCTCTTTCCGGTTTTAAACCTTATATTCACCCCCTTCCTTTTTTTTTCCTTAAAATTCCCCCCTTTTCCCCGTCTTACCCTTCTTTACCCTTTCCCCCTCTTACCCTTTTTTTACCTCTTTCCCGGTTTTTAAATCCCTTTATTTACCTTTTCCGGTCTTACTCCTTTATTCACCTCTCTTTTCCTTATTTCTCCCTTTATTCACCTCCTTCCCCTTTTTTTTCCTTTAAATTTACCCCTTTTTCCCGTTTGATCCTTCTATTCAAATTTTCTTCCTGTCTTATCCTTCTGTTTTACCTCTCTCCCTGTTTACTCCTTATATTTCCCCCCTCTTTTCCCGTCCTTTCTCCCTATTCACCCCCCTTCCCGTTTAATCCTTTTTGTTTACCTCTTTCCGTTTACTCCTTTTATTCCCCTCCTTCCCGGGCTTTCTCCCTTTATTCACCTCTTCCCGTCAATCCTTTTGTTCACCTCTTTCCCTGGCTTACTCCTTATATCCCTCTTTTCCCTGTTTTACTCTTTATTACCCCTTTCCCCGTCTTATCCTAATTCCCCTTTTCCCTGTCTTACTCCCCTTTTATTTCCCCCTTTTCCCTGTCTTAAATCCATACAATTTACCTCTTTTTCCCGTCCTTAAACCTTCCTTCTAAACCTCTCTTTCCCGTTTTTAAACCTTTATACCCCCTCTTCCTGTCTTAAATCCTTCTATTCCCCTCCTCCCCGTCTTACTCCTTTTTTTCCCCCCTCTTCCCGTCTTCCCCCTTCTATTCACATTTTTTTTCCCCGTCTTACTCCCTTTTATTCCCCCCTTTCCCCCGTCTTTAATAAATTTTATTTCCCCCCTCTTTCCCTTTTTTAACCCCTTTATTTACCTCTTTCCCCTTTTAAACTCTTTTAACCCCCTTTTTGTCCTAATCCCTTTTATTCACCTCTTTCCCTTTTTTATCACTAAATTCCCCATCCTTCCTTTTCTTACTTCTTTTAGCATTCTCTTTCCTTTTTTAATCTTCTATTACCCTTTTTCCTGTCTTAAATCCTTTATTCACCTTTTTCCCCCGCTTACTCCCCCTATTCACCTCTCTCCTGTTTTTTAAAAATTCTATTCCCCCCTCTTCCGGGCTTTCTCCTTTTATTCACCTCTTTTCCCGTTTTACTGCTTCTATTCACCCCCTTCCCCGTCTTACCCCTTTTTATTCAAAAACTCTTCCCCGCTTAAACCTTCTATTTCCCCCCTCCCCCCCTGTTTTAAATCCTTAATTCCCCTTTCCCCTTTAAACCTTCATTCACCTCTCTCCCTGGGCTTACCCCTTTTATTTCCCCCTCTTCCGGCTTACCCCTTTTATTTAACCCCCTTCCGTCTTAACCTTTTATTTACCCCTTTTCCCCGTTTACTCCTTCTATTCACCTCTTTCCCTGTCTTACTCCTTATATTCCCCTCTTTCCCTGTCTTTCTCCCTTCCCATTCACCTCTTTCCCCGTCTACTCCTTCTATTTAAACCCCTCTTCCTTTTCTAAAAACCTTTCTATCACCTCTCCCTGTTTTTAAATCCTTCATTCACCTTCTCCCCCCTTTACTTTATTTTTAAAATTTACAAACTCTTCCCCCTCTTACTTCTTAATTCACCTTCTTCCTGTCTTAATCCTTCTATTCCCCCTCTCCCTGTCCTTACCCTTTCTATTTTACCCGTTTTTCCCCGTCTTACCCCCTTTTATTTTACCTTCTCCCCGCTTTTTTAAACATTATTTCCCCCTTTTTCCTGTCTTACTCCCCCCTTTTTCACCTCTTTTTTTCCCCGTTTTACTGGTTCTATTCACCCCTTTCCCCGTTTAATCCTTTTATTTTACCCTCTTCCTGCCTTAATCCTTTATTTCCCCCCTCTTTCCCGGTTCCCAAATTTAAAATTCCCCCCTCTCCCTGTCTTAATCCCTTTTATTAAACCCCTTCCCTGCTTACTCCTTTTTATTTCCCCCCTTTTTTCCCGTCTTACTCCTTCATTCCCCCCTCTTTCCCGGCCCTTAAACCCTTTATTCACCCCCTTTCCCTGTCTTACTCCTTTTATTTACCTCTTTCCCCTTCCCCTTGGAATCCTTATTTCCCCTTTTCCCCGTCTTTCCCCCTTCTTTCACCTCTTTCCCCGTCTTTTCCTTATTCACCCCCCTCTTTTTTGTCAAATCCTTTTTACTCACCTTTTCCCGGTTTTACTTAAATTTTTATTCCCCCTTTTCTCCCTGTCTTACTCCTTATTCCCCCCTTTCCGTATTTCTCCTTCATTCACCCCTCTTTCCCGTTTAATCCTTCTATTTTCCCCCCCTTTTTCCCTGGCTTAATAAATTTACCTCTTTCCCGCCTTAATCCTTTATTCAACCCCCTTTCCCTGTTTTTTTCTCCTTCTATTACCCTCTTTCCTGTCTTACCCCCTTTTTAAATTTAAACCCCTTTCCCTGTCTTACTCCTTTATTAAACCCCTTTTCCCTTTTTCCCCCTTATTTCCCCCCTTTGGGGCCCCGTCAAATCCCTTTTTATTTCCCTCTTTCCCGGGCCCTTTCTCCTCCCATTCACCTCTTTTTCCCCTTTTTTCTCCTTCTATTAAAATCTTTCCCCGTTTTCTCCTTATATGCCCCTCTTTCCCTGGTTTTCCCCAAATTTTAAATTTACCCCCCCCCTCCGTTTAAAACCCTTTTATTCCATCTTTTTCCCTTTTCCTTTCTCCTTTATTGCCCCCCTTTCCCTGCCCTTTCTCCTTTTAAATTTACAAAATTTCCCTGTCTTACTCCTTAATTCCCCTCTTTTTCCCCTTTTTTACTTTCCCTTTTTTCCCTCTTTCCCTGTCTTACTTTCCCTTTTTATTCAACCCTTTTTTCCCGGTCTTACTCCTTCCCTTTCCCCCTTTTCCCGTTAAATCCCTTTTTATTCCCCCTCTCCCGTTTAAAAAATCCTTTTATTCACCTCTCTTTCCCGCCTTAATCCTTCATTCACCCCCTTTTCCCGTTTTACTCCTTATATTTCCCCCCGTTTCCCGGGCTTACTCCTTTTATTCCCCTCTTTTTCCGTCTTACTCCTTCTATTCCCCCCCCTCTTCCCGGGCTTAAAACCTGCTATTCCAAACCCCTCTTCCCGTCTACTCTTATAAATTTCCCCCCTCTTCCTGCTTACCCCCTTCTTTCACCTCTCTTTTGTTTAATTCCCTTTTATTAAACCCCTTTTCCCTTTCCGGGTTTAAATCCTTTTATTTACCTCTTTCCCCGTCTTCTCCTTATATTCCCCTCTTTCCATTCCTTTCTCCTTTCTATTAAACCCCATCCCCGTCTTACTCCTTTATTGCCCTTTTTCCCTTTTTCCCTTTCTCCCTTTATTCACCCTTTTCCCTTCTCACTCCTTATATTCCCCTCTTTTCCCGTTTTTACCATTCCCATTCACATCTTTTCCCGGGGTTTTTACTCCTTCATTCACCCTCTTTCCCGTTTTTTGCTTCTATTTTACCCCTTTTCCCCGTCTTAAAACATTCTAAATTTCCCCCTCTTTTCCGGGTTTAAATCCTTCTATTCCCCCTCTCTCCCCGTCTTAAACCTTCTATTTAAACCCCTTTTTTCCTGTCTTTAAACCTTCTATTCACCTCTCTTCCGTCTTCTCCTTTATTCACCCTCTCCCTGTTTACTCCTTATATTCCCTCTCTTTCCCCCCGTCTTCCTTTTTTTCTTATTTCCCCCCCTTCCTGTCTTAATCCTTCTATTCAAAACCCCTCTTTTCCTTAAACCTTCTATTCCCCCTCCCCTCCCTGCCAAATCCTTTTATTCCCCCCCCTTCCCTGTCTTAAACCTCATATTCCCCCCTCTCCCTTTTCTTAAACCCTTTATTCCCTCTCTCCCGGCAAAACCATTTTTAAACCCCTCTTTCCGGGCCTTTAAACCTTTTTATTCAAACCCCTTTCCCTGTTTTACTCCTTTTTTCCAAAACCCCTTTTTCCCCGTTTACTCCTTCTATTCACCTCTTTCCCTGTCTTACTCCTTCTATTCACCTCTTTCCCTGTCTTACTCCTTTATTCCCTATTGGGGCCCCTTTTTTCTCCCTTTTATTCACCTCTTTTCCCCGTTTTATCCTCTATTTTACCTCTTTTTCCCGGTTTTAATCCTTTTATTCCCCCATTTTTTCCCCGTTTAATCCCTTTTGCCCCTCTTTCCCCCCGTCCCTTTTCCCCTTCCCATTCACTCTTTCCCCGGTTAATTTCCCTTTTTTTCCCCTCTTTCCCTTCTTACTTTCCTTTATTCCCCCTTTCCCCGTCTTTCTTTCCTTTTATCCCCCCTCCCTTTTCCCCTTTTTACCCTTTTTCATCTCTTTCCTGTCTAAACCTTCTATTTCCCCCCTCTCTCCCTTTCTTAAAAACCCTTTTATTTTCCCCCTCTTTTCCGCCTTTAAACCTTCTATTCACCTCTTTTCCCCCTTTTTTCTCCCCTTTTATTTTCCCCCCTTTTCCCCCGTTTACCCCCTTTTATTCACCTCTTTCCCCGGGTTTTTTCTCTCATTTCCCCCTCTTCCTTCTTTTAACCTTTTATTCACCCCTCTTCCTGTCTTAAAAACCCCTATTTACCTCTCTTTCCGGGCTTAAACCTTTTATTTACCCTCTTCCCCCTTTTTTTACTCCTTTTATTCCCCATTTCCTGTCTTACTCCCTTTATTCAATCCTTTTCCGGGGCTTAATCCCTTTTATTCACCTCTCCTTTCCCCCTTACCCCTTCCGGGCACCCTCTTTTTCCCCTCCCCGAATCCTTCATTCACCCTTTCCCCGTCTTACCCGGGAAACCCCCCAAGGCGGAAACCCCAACAACCCCCCCCACCCAAAACCCCCCTTTCCCCCAAATTAATCCTTTTTTTCCCCTCTTTCCTGCTTTCTCCTTCTATTTTTACCCGTTTTTCCCCCTCTTTTTCTCCCTTTTATTAACCTCTTTCCCCTTTTAAAACATTCTATTCCCCCTCTTTCGGGTTTTAAAATCCTTCTATTTACCTCTTTTCCCCGTTTTTCTGCTTCTATTCAAATTTTTCCCCCTCTTAAATCCTTCATTCACCTCCCCCCTTTCCCGCCTTAATCCTTTCTATTCCCCTCTCCCCCCCCTGGCCCCAAAACCCTTTATTCCCCTTTTTTCCCTGTCTAATCCTTTTATTTCCCCCCTCTCCCTGTCTAAAACATTCTATTCCCCCCCCTCCCCCCCTGTTTTTTTAATCCATTCCCCCTTTCCCGGCCCCTTAAACCTTCTATTCACCTTTTCCGGGTTTTTCTCCTTTTTTATTCCCTCCCTTTTCCCGTCTTTATCCTTTTTATTCAAACCCCTTTCCCTGTCTTCTCCTTCTATTCCCTCTTTTCCCCGGGCCTTTCTCCCCTATTCACCTCTTTCCCTGTCCCCAATCCCTTTTATTCCCCCTCTTTCCCTGTCTTACTCCTTTTTATTCCCCCCCTTTCCCCGTTTACTCCTTATATTCAACCCTCTTTCCTGTCTTACTCCTTATATTCCCCTTTCCCGTCTTTCTCCTTCTATTCCCAAACTTTCAATGTCTTTGTCCCTTTTATTTTCCCCTCTTTCCCTGTCCTTTCCCCCTTCTATTTTACCTCTTCCCTTTTTCTCCTTCTAAATTTCCCCCTTTTTCCCTGTCCTTTCTCCCTTTTATTCAATTTTTTTCCTGGAAATCCTTATTCCCCCCCTTTCCCTTCTTAACCTTTTTTTTTCCCCCAAAACCCCTTTTCTTCCCTTTTTACTCCTTCCATTCCCCCCTCTCTCCCCTTTTTTACTCCTTTAATTTTTTCCCTATTCCCCGTCTTACCCTTTATTCACCTCCTCACTGTCTTTAAACCCTCTATTCCCCTCTTCCCTGTCTTAATAACTTCTATTCCCCTATTTCCGGGTTTTAAACCTTCCCATTCAATCTTTCCCGTTTTAAATCCCTTTTAATTCCCCCTTTCCCTGTCTTACTCCTTCTATTCACCCCTCTCCCCCGTCTTTAAACCCCTTTCCCCCCTCCCCCGGCTTAAACCCTCTATTCCCCCTCTCCCTGTTTTAAAACCCTTCTTTCCCCTCTTCCGTTTCCCCTATTAATCCTTTTTATTCCCCCTTTTCCCCCCGTCTTAAACATTCTTTTCCCCCCTCTCCCTGTCTTAAAAACCCTTTTTCCCCCCATTCCCCTCTCTCCCTATATTAACCTTCTATTTTTCCCCCTTTTCCCGGGCTTAACTTAATTTTTCCCCCCTTCCCCTGGAAATCCCCTTCTATTCCCCTCTCTCCCTGTCTTAATCATTATTTTCCCCTCTCTCCCTGTATTAATCCTTCTATTCCCCTCTCTCCCTGTCTTAATCCTTCTATTATCCCCTCTCCCTGTCTTAATCCTTATATTCCCATCTCCCTGTCTTAATCCTTATATTCCCCTCTCTTCCTGTCTTAATCCTTCTATTCCCCTCTCTCTCATACAGCAGTTAGCGAGGAAGGACAGTCAGAACAGTTCTGTGCACAGTGTGTCCAGCCACCGGAGTACCCACACTGACTCCCCTGTGCACCTGTCCCTGGCCACCCCTTTCTGCGAGAGCGCCGCCCCCCCACCCCCCACCCAGCCCCTGCCCGGCCTGCCTCCCCAGGAACCTCAGGCAGACGGGACCATCCAGAGGAAACCGGATCCCTTCAAGGTCTGGGCCCAGTCCAGGAGCATGTATGAAAGTAGGCGTAAGTATTTATTTTTGGTGTGAGGGTGTTGACTTGGGTGCTCCCCTTGTCCTGTCGGGTTGGTACTGCAGTCTGGGGCTGGTGAACAGAGATAATCTGCATGCATGTAAGTAATTTAACCTCAGTCCCCTACACTCAATATTCTGATTTGCCAAAAGTATCCTGTCGTCTTTTGTATATTGACCTAAAGTGGGTGTTCACTTGGTGGGTTAGGAGTGTGGACTGTTTGAAGATCATTGTGGCAGTTGGGTAGAGAAATGGGAGTGAGAGCGATAACAACAGCCTCTAAGGAGAGTTGGTGCTGCTAACCACACCCTTGATCTACTGAACCTTGACCATGTGTGTTATTATCAGTAAGTAGTATGCTCTCTGGAATAGACTGTGCCATGTTCACCTCTACACTATTCTTTAGAACACAGCTCCAGACAAATGTGCATATAATTTGCGGTGGTGGCTCCCATATTTCCCTGGTAGTCTGGTGATGCTTACGGTGCTAGCCTCCCCAATTAACAGGAATATCTCTCAACCCCTGTCAGTTGCCCTCTGAGGATTGGAGGGTCCAGAGGGTTGAACGTCTAATCATTTCTCTGGTGCTCCTGCTTTCATCAGGCTTTCATTATTTAGAGGCCTTAAAGGGAGAGGAACTGGGTACGGTACTGCCAGAGTTGGCTCTCTCCTCAGGTGAGCGAGGATAGGGGAGAAGAGGAGAGGAATTCTAGAATTCTAAAGAAACAAGGAAGAAGAGTGGGGATTGTTTAGTCAACTCAGCCTTATTCAGCACTTGTATGTCCCTGTCCTGAGGAAATAGGACTTCATTACCGTTGTGATGACACGTTTGCCTGATTGATTCTGAAATCAAAGCCTGGGAGAGCTGAGGCTGTAACACACCATTTTGCGACCACCCTGCGAGCGTTTCCCAAACCTGAGCAATGCAGACTGGGTGAGCTGGGAAGAATGCCCATGCTTGATGTTCACCCAGCAGCCATTTTGATGGTGCTAGCTGGATAGTGGATACTAGCCACTCTTTCTCCCCATCTCCGCTTCCTGATCTGAAGTTAATCTGCTTGTTCTCCAGGGTCAGTCTGAGCTGGGCAGATTGACTAATCTTTGTTTAGTATGGATCTGTTCCTAGCCAGTGGTTTAGAAGTTGAGCTGCTGGATTGATCTGATAAGCTGCCCAGTGCCTAGCGGTTAGCCTGTGACATGCCAATCTCGGCCATACCCTGAGTCCCAGTGTGGTAGAAAGAGAGCTAGCTAGCTCAACACTGTGAGCTCTTCTGTTTACTCTGGAACAGATTGCAGCCAATCTGGCCTCTTGCCCTCCTCCCTCTATCCTGCTGGCTCATAGTGGCTTTAGCTGTGGAGGTCTGTATAGTTACATGGAGTATCCCATGGGGGGGCTGAATGCATGGATACACACACACACACATCGACACAGACAGCTCCAAGCTGTTGCTTGGACCCCTGTTCCTCTGTGGTCTGCCCACCTCCAGTGCTACATGAACCATGAGCTGTCAGTCGCTGAAGTGCACCGCTATGTTGCAACTTAGTGCCCCTCGGACAGCTAGCTCCAGTACTGCCACCCTCTTCCCCTCCCCTCCTGCTCAGATCTCCTCGGCTAGGGGGTTCCAGACTGAGCCTGAGGAGCAGCACTGCTGAGGCCCTTCTCAATAATACAGCACCAGGCTGGCATACTGGTGACCTGGCTGAGTGCTAGGGAGAGACTCCCAGTCCCTGTCACCTACCCAGGTTGATGGGACAAAGGAAGAAGGATTTTGTCTTCAAAGACATCCGAAAGGATAGTATTCAAAGAGATCCTAATTATGGAGGTTTGATAAAATAGGTACCTAGGGGATTTTCACAGCCCTCTCCTCTCTTGAATGGTAATTTGAAGGTATTTTGGGAATAGATCATTTTGTTTTGTTTGGGAAGATATTAGATATTTACACATTCCTCAGGGTAAGGAATGTACTAGCTGGCCTCTGTTCTCCTCTGAAAGGAACAGGGGGGAGGAGGGGTTACACTGTGTGGGTTCTGATGTAATGATCCAGGATGTAGTTATCAATGCTGATGATTGGTTATCTGGTTGCAGTGCCTGATTTCCAGGAGCAGGACATCTTCCTGTGGAGAAAGGACACGGGCTACGGGTTCCGGATCCTGGGAGGGAACGAGCCAGGAGAGCCGGTGAGTTAGAAGATTCAACCACACACTAACATCACTGCTCTGTATATATCTATACTCTCAATAGATATTTTAAGTTCAGTTGAAAAATAATACACCTTTCAACAGATTCCAAGTATCTAGTTATTAATCTTGGCTTGGACACTTATTATGAGACTTCTAAGTTTATTATGACAAATATTGAGTATATATTTAATATATTTTGCATCTTTGTGTGACATATTTTACTGTCTAATTGATGGTTGCAAACTCCTCTGTTGGAGCCAGATTAATCAACTACAGCAGCAGTTTTGGTCTGTGTGTGGTGGTGATTGAGGTCTCAGCTCCTCTGTTCTGTAGCTCCACTTGCTCTTTCATCTACTTGCTGCAGACTCAATCTCTCCCGCCACTTTTTTTCCCTTTAAAGAGGCCAAGTTGTTTGTTCTTGTGAGCTGGTCTGGACAGCTTTTGAAGAAGGAAAATAATGACACACAAGAGATTTAGACCGGGCTGTGCAGACAAGCAGAGAAAGAGGAGAGGAGACGTACCAGCCAGCTTTCTAGCTGGACCAGGGGTGTTAGTGCTGTGTTAGTGCTGCCGGAAAGTGTTGTACTAAAATAATCTTACCTATGAGGTAGAAATATTATTCAACAACCGTTAATATCTCATCTTGATGTTCTTTCACGATGTGCTGTTGATTGACCAACAACCTCTCCTATCACCCGCCTCTTCTGTCCTCTCCTTTTCTCTTATTGTCTCTCCTTTTCTCCCTTCCTCCCCCTCTCCTCTCCACTCCTCTCCTCCCCTCCTCCCTTCCTCCCCCTCTCCTCTCTACTCCTCACCTCCCCTCCTCCCTTCCTCCCCCTCTCCTCCCCTCTCCTTCCTTCCTCCCCTCCTCTCCCCAGATCTACATAGGGCACATAGTGAAGTACGGGGCAGCGGATGAGGACGGGCGCCTGCGTTCGGGGGATGAGCTCATCTGTGTGGACGGCACGGCAGTGGTGGGGAAGTCTCATCAGCTGGTGGTACAGCTGATGCAGCAGGCCGCCAAGCAGGGCCACGTCAACCTCACCGTGCGACGCAAGACTGGCTACGGAGGTAAGGGAACGCAGCAGCTAGTTAAACACGGACACTAAGTTTTACTTAGACAGACACTCTTATACAGAGTGAACGCATTCAAATAACAGCTACATGATATGAGCATCAGAAGTGGTTTGTGTGAACTTGTCTTTCAACAGCAAGAGATGGAGAGAAATCTGTGGTAGCAGTGTTGGCTTAAATCAGACAACGTAATTTGATAGTTTGTCTGCCAGTAATTTTGCCAGTAATTCTGTCTTCTCTGCACAATGCTTAAGGATCATGGTAGAATCTTATTCGATAATCTGTCTCAGAATGTTCCTATTTCAAGTATCGCACAAACAGCAGATGAGCAGCAGTCTGTGCAGTAGTACAATCAACAGCAGTCTATGCAGAAACATCAGAGCAATCCACTGCTCCAGGCAGTGAAGGGCCCGAGGACAGAGCTGCTATTTGAAGGGTCGCACCGCTGCTCTTCAACAGTCCATGGATGTGTGGGGAAACATTTATCAGAGGCCCTCAATGCGCCCAACCTGGCTCTGCCCTTCAGCAGGATAAATAAAGTTCCTTAAACATGATGAAGACGGTCCCGACCTGCCCCCACTCCCACCAGCCTGCCTTCCAGCCACTGATGTGAGCGTCCAGACCGAGGGCATGATGGTTGGTCAGAGGGGTGACGCCCACTATGAAGTACTGCCTCAATGCCAGGAAATTAGATGGGAACCTTATGTTGTGATGCAGTTGGGAAGCCATATCTTTAGATGTTTTGGGGAGGAATAGATGAAAGTGTAGACCTGCTTCCTGCTATCAGTGTGATTATTACGCCAGGCTGAGTGGGTAGAGAGGCGCACCGGTGTCCATGTTCATTAGTAAAAAAAAATATTTCGTGTTTCTTTTAGTTTTATGTGCTGTTGCTGTAAAGTAGCTCTGTCAATTCCTCCTCAGGGTCTAAAGGGGAGGGTGAGGTGCCCCCGTCCCCAGCCTCGTCCCACCACAGCAGCACACAGGCCCCCTCCCTCACAGAGGAGAAGCGGACTCCCCAGGGCAGCCAGAACTCCCTCAACACTGTCAGCTCCAGCAGTGGCTCCACCAGCGGCATCGGCAGCGGGGGTGGTGGGGGCTCGGGTAGCACCGTGGTCAACAACGCCCTGCAGCCCTACGATGTGGAGATCCGCCGCGGGGAGAACGAGGGCTTCGGATTTGTGATTGTCTCGTCTGTGTCCCGACCCGAGTCTGGCACCACCTTCGGTAAGACCCCCATGTCCTCTCTACCTTTCTGTACTTAAATATAGGTAGCACATATGCATGTACTATGCACACACACACTCAAAGTTCCTCTCACTATACAGGAGAACATAGATATTTTTTAACTAATCACTGTTTGACTACTGGGTACTGTCCCTCTACTTCTATGAAAATTATATTCTTAATAGCCCATATTTCTGGTGAATAGCTTTCATCCTCATTCTTCCATCTTCTAGCGAGTGGTGTTCCTCTTCTATTTTCTTAAATTCTGTCAAGCAGAGACACTGAAACCCAGCCCAAAGAACTGTAATATTTATACTATCTTTCATAATTGATCACAAGTAAGAGTATGTTGCATAATATCCTGTATAATTCAGATGCTCTTACTTAAATGCCTCCGATGAGCAGATTGCCACAGTTATAATGATGAGTTAATAAGGGGGAAGAGTATTGCGATATTGTAAGTGGGATCATTTGTAGATGGATAGACCCTCTCCCACTGTCCTCCAACTCTGCTTGTCCCTCTGCATGCCCTGTTGTCTGCTCTGGTGTCTTTGCTGTGCAGTGTATTCTGCCTATAACTGCTACAGAGAGATCTTGCTGCCACTCTCTGTACCTACCTGACCACTCCTCAGGGAGTCGCTCTGGGTTGGGTGTGCTGAAACACTGCTTAACTAAACTCTCACTGGGCGTCAAACGATCAAGCAAAGCATATCTTCATGTACTGAAATGGAAGGCATTGGCAAGTTTGTACCATTTCGTTTATCTTCCAGGCTTCACATAAAAGAGGAGCACGTTGGTTATTGATCAATAGTGAAGAGAAATCTGTATGGATCCCAATTACTCTGACACAGATATATCCATCCATCCTCTCTTAGCTTATTAAAGAAACACATCCTTCTGCTGTGAAACCAACAAAGCTTCTAGTTGGTACAGAACTCATGAGTTGCGCTCCACAGATCTGCTCTTGGCTAGAGTTACTGACAGCAGAGGGAAGAGACAGACTGATTAGTCTTTGTAGTTCAATGAATGAAGAAGAGGAATAGAGATGGATAGAGAATGATATGTGCTATATTTCTCTGTTATGATTGAGAGGCATTCTCTAGTAGGGTAGAAGCCTTTGTGCTGCTGAGGATTGTTGGTAGGAGAGGACCTGAGGGTACTAGCGAAGAAGTCGTCTGTGATGTCTGTACGTTTGTAATCTAGGCTGCAGCTGCAGGTGTCTGTCTTATCAGAGCTGAAGGTTGACATAGTTTCCTGATTATTAGGTTTCAGCTGTACAAAGATGTTAGGAGAGATTCACTAATGCAAATAGAAGAACTTGTCCTTTGGAGCAGCGCTAGTACATAATGTTGACAGAGGGAGATTGTCAGTGACACATTGAGTATTTAGTATGGTCCTAATTCATTTGAATGCAGTACATATACAGTATGTAAAGGCATTTTTCCTTCAACATTCCCTCTCACTTGACCAATGCTTTCACTTTCTCACGGCAGATTTCCAGGCACTGTCTTTTGGCACTTGGCTTGGTGGCTTTGGTGAAGTAACCCTTAACCTTCTGTCTTCCATTCTCTCTCTTCTCCTCTTCCTCGTCTGTCAATTTTTTCTTCTTCTTCTCTCTCTCTCTCTCAAAACACCAACAATGTCACATCACACACACTATGAATCATGCAAACGCAAAAAGCTGGAAATGCATGTGTGGCCATGCCCCACAAAATAGGTCGTATTATTGAGGGGAGCCCTGCGGACCGCTGTGGGAAGCTGAAGGTGGGGGACCGTATCCTGGCCGTCAACGGCTGCTCCATCACCAACAAGTCACACTCGGACATCGTCAACCTGATCAAGGAGGCCGGGAACACCGTCACGCTAAGGATCATTCCCGGAGACGGTAAGACAGAACCCTGTTCCTGGAGAGCCTGTATGTTTTCTTTTCAACCCCAATCTAGCACACCTGATTCTAATAATTAGCTGGTTGGTTATAATTGGGGTTGGAGCGACAACCTACAGGAGGGTTACGGTAGCTCTCCAGGAACAGGGTTGGGCAGAACTAGACCTAAGACTGTAGATCTCAGCAGTTAGGATCAACCTGTGTCATAGGAATATTTGTGCATTAAATCAGTTATGTAAACCTTTATTGTATCGGAATGTACAGTATACACCTTTTGCTAAAGGAATGCCTATCTCGGTACATCACCATCACAGCGTTTTTACATTTCGAGTGCTCTAGTTAGTCTGATCACCCCCGCAATGTTGACAGAGCTGCTTGTCTTGGATGGGAGGGAACTTTCTAGTGCAGTCGTGCATTTCACATTCTCCTGAAACATTCAAGAGTAATTCAGCTGTCAGAGGCTGTAACGGTGTGTGTGTGTGTGTGTATTTGTTTGTGTGTGTGTGTGTGTGTGTGTGTGTGTCTTTCTTGGGGCTAAGAGCTCTCGTTACACTGCACTGACAGATCACCCTGGCATGCTGTTTGATTAAGTGAGAGAGATGCAGGGAGAACGCCAGTGTAAACACTAGTCTTTGTTAACCTGCATGTTGGAGAAATTTGAGTTATTTGTCCATGTTGCTGTTGTTTGGCCTGTTTTTATGGATTAAAGCCTTTTTCTGTAGAGACAGATGATTACACTGAGACACAATTGTTTTAGAGAGAGAGAGAGACTACAAACCATGGTCAGAATCCCTGTCTATTAGTGAGGTAGGTACACTCTTAGAAAAAAAGGTGCTATCTAGAACCTAAAAGCGTTCTTTGGCTATCCCCATAGGAGAACCCTTTGAAGAACCCTTGTCGGTTCCAGATAGGACCCTTTTGGTTCCAAGTAGAACTGTTTTGGGTTCCATGTAGAACCCTTTCCATAGAGGGTTCTATATAGAATCCAAAATGGTTCTACCTGGAACCGAAGAACCCTTTAAGAACCCTTTTTTCAAATGGTGTAGATTTAACCAATGCCAGGGTTGTCTCCTGCTGTTAAACGCAGGGCTGTTAGGGAGGCAGAGGGAGATTTAATAAGGAGGCTGATTCCAACATCACTGCAGGGAAACTCTGCGCTCTCTCTCTCTCTCTCTGGAAAGGCTGGGAGGGAGCTGGGTGGGAGGAAGGGATAGCGCAATGGAAAGAGGAAAGTGGGAGAGAAGGAGTACGGGATGAGAGATGCGGAGATTGAGGGAGGAAATGAGAGGGATGGAGTATGTGAGGATGGAGCCTGGGCTTCAGGGGTTGGAACCGCAATTATTTTCCGATCGTTTCGTTCTGAACCGAACCACACATTTTGTTGTTCCGTTCCACTGTTCCGAACAGCAAAATAAAGTTCTGAACCAGTTGGAAGCCCAAAAAAGTACTGGTTTACATTGTTCCTTTCTGTTCTTTTTTTAACCTGTGAAATCAACAGTTTTTTACACTGCGCTCATTAAATTACTTCACCAATCAGTGCGAATAGAGCAGGTAAGCTAGTTGTTTACATGCGTGATGGACAGACAAGTGTAGCCTATGGCACACGGTGTGACTGAAATGTTACAGGTGGGGAGAGAGCGAGAGAGGGTTGAGGAGCAGGCTTGAAGCGCTAGGCATCGTGTTATGACATGCATTATCTGAATTTGGTACCACAGAGTTATACCTAGGAGAAGCGGCTTCTATGAAGGAACTTTGTATGTCCTTTGAGCTAGCTAGCTAACAAGCTTGAGTTAGCGACCTAACAAGCTTGAGCTAGCAACCTAACAAGCTTGAGATAGCTAGCTAACAACCTTGAGCTAGCAAGTGAACAAGCTTGTGTGTGCAGAGCGGCATCAGAATTAAAAACACATCGTACCTTTTTGTAGTTAATAAATCCAATGTGAAACGTGATAACTAGGCCTATAGTATCCTAAACTAGCATTGAACAAGTGAATCCATTCTTCTCTAGCTAATAAAACATATATATCCTTATCTTCTAACACTTCTAACATCAGTACAGTAGCCTATGCTTCGGAGAGGGGAAGGGCAGGTAGCCTATACATGTGCACACACACTGACAAAGATTTTAAGCTTGCAGGTTGACGCTGGAATACAGAGTGAGGGCTTTGCATAGTTGCATTGTTGCGTTTTTTTGTGGGACTATAAAAAAAAAGACAGGAACGTAAAATAACATTACTAACCAGTTTCCATGCTTTTAAAATAACGGTTCTGTTCCAGAAAAGTATGGATCACTTTCGTTCCCGGTTCTGTTTCTGTTCCTTAATTTCTTTACAGTTTTCAGTTCTGTTCCCTGAACTGGTTCCAACCTCTGGTTGACTCCGGCGTAGAGTGATGGAGGAGGGAGAAGGTTTATTTTAAGACACTGGGATTCATGGACAGAGACAGCACTCATCAAACCTCGGGTTTCCCCAAGCAATGTGACTACGCAGCTGGCTGGAATTAAACCCACTCGGCCCGACCTCGGCTCGGCCTCCACTCTGATTGGCTGGCCAGCCCAATGTTTCAGGGGTCGTGGGAGCGGAATGGAGAGTTAAGCCATTGGGATCCAAGTGGACTAGTGGGGGAGTGATGTATATTTGAAACTGGAATTGAGCACAGCCGGTGGGGCTGGGATTAGTCTAGGGGCGGTAGTTGGGCCGAGAGCAGGGGCTAGGATTAGTCTAACTTTAAGCATCAGTTGTCAGAGCAGCTTACCGATCACTGCACCTGTACACAGCCCATCTGTAATTAGCCCACCCAACTACCTCATCGCCATATTGTTATTTATTTTGCTCATTTGCACCCCAGTATCTCTATTTGTACATCATCTTCTGCACATCTATCACTCCAGTGTTAATACTAAATTGTAATTATTTTGCACTATGGCCTATTTATTGCCTTACCTCCATAACTTACTACATTTGCACACACTGTATATAGATTTTCTATTGTGTTTTTGACTGTACGTTTTGTTTATCCCATATGTAACGCTGTGTTGTTGTTGTTTTTATCGCACTGCTTTGCTTTATCTTGTCGCAGTTGTAAATGAGAACTTGTTCTCAACTGGCTTACCTGGTTAAATAAAGGTGAGAAAAAAAGAACAAAATATTAGAAAGAAATGAGGGTGTGTGTTTGGAGTGAGGAGATGGTTGTGTGGTTATTGCGTGTTTATTTAAGGATTACGGTCAAGCATAGGTCATTGATTACACAAATATGCTGTGATTAGATGAGAGCCATGAGTATAGCAGTTCCTCGGGTCCAGGCTTCCATATGTCCCCCTTTGAATAAATTATATATAAAAAATGTAGCGCCCCTGCTACAGTATATCTATCGGGCGTCCGGCATTGCCATCAGCCAGCCGTCAGCCGTTGAGGAAATGCTTCCTTTGAAATCAATGAAAGCTGCTTCACTACCTGTGTTGCGCTCGGGTTGCGTCACTTCCAATGGCAGCGTCCAAGCTCAAGAATCGGCGAGGTTAAATTCTTAACGTCTGACGCACACGTTCATTCTATCTTGTGAATTGAAATAATGAGAAATAAAGTTGTCGTCCTCTGTAGCTCAGCTGGTAGAGCACGGCGCTTGTAACGCCAAGGTAGTGGGTTCGATCCCCGGGACCACCCATACACAAAAATGTATGCACGCATGACTGTAAGTCGCTTTGGATAAAAGCGTCTGCTAAATGGCATATTATTATTATTATTATATTATAAAGTTAATTTTGGTTGCATATGGCCTTGACTATACACCACTGGTTATTTTACTAAGATTTACTAAGTCAAGAAGCTACTACTACTAGCTAGCTAGCTAGCTACATTGACTAGCTAGGTTCACAATGTAAACAAAAGCAACTTGTGTAATTAGAGGATCATTAAGTACAACCACTAGCAACAATTTAATGAGTACTTGTGAAAAACTGGACCAAAGCTATTGGACTTATGCATAATCGATGAATATGGTTCAGTACAGTAGGGGAAAATAGAATAAAGATGCTCTTCCCCTCTGCTACTCTCTGCTCTCAAAACAACACGCTCTGTGTAGCAGGTAGAACGTCACATTGACATGACGCTGATGGCAAAGCAACGCGATGCTTATAGTTGAGCTGAAGTTGGGCTTACGACGGTTTAGTGAAACTGTTTTTGGTTCATTTTTCTCCCTTCGTATTTTGCATGGTTCAGTCTGCAGGCCCCTGACCCCCCTGCTCCTTTTCTCTCTCCTTCGCTCTCTCTCTCTCTCTCTCTCTCTCTCTCTCTCTCTCTCTCTCTCGCTCTCTCTCTCGCTGTCTCTCTCTCATCAGAGTCCTCTAATGCATCACTGCTGACCAACGCTGAGAAGATCGCCACTATAACAACCACTCACACAGCCCAACAACAGGCTGCACCTGAGCCCAGGTGAGAGGGATTCTGGGATACATGTATGTAGGACCTAATTGCTTAAGAACATGTCTATTAGCAAAGATTTTTAACCAATATTTTATCATCTTTCTCATTCCAGAAACAACACCAAACCAAAACAGGAGTCCTCTTTTGAGTTCAAATCCCCCCAGGCCCCTCCTCCCCCTGCCCCAACAACACAACCTCCAGCCCAGGTAAGGATCTGTCCATCGCTGCCAAGGCCTGCCTGTCCCCAACTGTGGGGGGGGGGGGGGGGTTATACGACTGTAAAAACACCAGGATATCAGCTGCAAGTGATTTAAATTTTATTGCGGTCAATTTGCAGTCTACAAATTATTCGTAATTATGTTCCGGCCCCCCGACCATCCTCTCAAGAAAAAATCGTCTCGTGGCTGAATCTAGTTGATGATCCCTGCCCTACAGCAATGTGTTCCCTCTAAGTGGTTGTCACACTAGGGAGATGCTTTATTCTGATATCATATTGATTAGTTCCTGAACAGAGCAAGGAAGGAGGGTGTTGAGTCTGTGTCCTTGGCAGTGCCCTTGTAGTGTCTGTGGCTCTGTGTGCCCTCTCTGCCTGCCTCAAACTGCCCCATAGTCTAATCAATCTATTATTCATTTCACCCACCACTACTCTGGAGCTCCGATCTAAGTGTGACTTTCCTCAAGGTGGCATTCGTCCCCACACTGAAATACGAGCCATCCACAGACACACACACACACTGGCAAGTCTAGCCACCACTGAATCACCAGTCTGACCTTGTCGTGTGGATGTGTGTGTTTTTTTTCTCAGGATGCTGGGTTCTACTCAGTGGACCTGGAGAGGGACAACAAAGGTTTTGGGTTCAGCCTGCGAGGAGGTTGTGAGTACAACATGGACCTGTATGTGCTGAGACTAGCTGAGGATGGAGCGGCTGTACGCAATGGCAAGATGAAGGTATATATGACCCCCATATAGGAGTGTTTGAAGTCTAAAGTTGATGTATCATATTCATTCTACTAATGTAATCCTGAACACCTCATACAAAATGAAAACACAAGTTTAACATTCCCCTGGGTCCTATAGAGACAATTAAAGGGTTCATTGATTTTCCTTTATTATTTGTGAATATGTGATATATGTAAATAACATTGAATGTTAGCGGGGGCATCTGTCAGGGAGGTGTGTGTGTCACTGTTCTGAGCAGGGCTTGTTAGATGAGATATTAATAGGCCCAGGTTCTGTGAGGCGGAGAGAGGTGTCAGTAGGAGACCCATTTCTGTACAAGTGGAATTCCCTCGACGGAGAGAACACTGACAGAAAGCTTGAGGCGCAGAGGAGAAAAAAGAGAATTAGAATTCTCCGTCTTTCTGTCTCTCTACCTACATGAGGCAAACCTACAGTTCTTTGACACCATTTCTTTCCCTCTTGTACCATTGTGGATTTCTAGAAATGATGCCTTCACAGCAGTCAGAATAGTTGTTTTTTACGTTTTAACTATAATCTAACCTTCCTCCCTCTGGCACCGCTTATGTTCCCAACTGTCCCCTTTCCCACTGTCCCCTCTTTTCCTCCCCTGTTCACCCCCTCTGCCCTTCTCTTCTCCTCCTCTTGTCCTTTTCCTACCTATCCTCTGTCTCACCCACTACCTTCCACTCTTCACCTCTCCCTCCTCCAATGTCTCCCCCTCTCCTCTCTCCTTCAGGTGGGAGATGAGATCCTGGAGATAAACAGTGAGAGCACCAAGGGCATGAAGCACGCCCGAGCCATCGAACTGATTAAAAACGGCGGCCGCCGCGCCCGCCTAGTCCTCAAGCGGGGCGACGGCTCGGTGCCTGAATATGGTGGGTCAATCTACGAAAACATTCCCTTTTCCCCCATCTTCACCCCCTGAGTGCACACACACTCCCCATGGGGGAGGGGCGGGGTGGGGTACGAGAGGACACATGTCTCCTCTCCTGTCCTGCTCTGTGCTGTGCTCTGGGCCTTCCACTGACTTCCACTGTCCGCTGGGTGTGTCTGGTTTTACTCCCTTCGGGTCTGGGTCAACTGCTGTCACCTTTTAACCTTCTGCTGTGTGTCACTGAGTGGGGCGTTGCTTGGGGAGCAGGGAATTCTGGGACGCCCCAAGGATGAAAGGGGTCTATGTGGACCCCTTGGAAAAAGAGGGTCACATGGAAAAAATTATGAAAGAACTGTGAGGAGAGAAAACAAATCTAAAAAGATCAGTGTTTCTAAATGTGGATATAAGTTTATTGAGTCCTTGCTGAATTATATTTTTAGGGTAAAAAAATAAATAAAATAACTATTGCATCCCGTGCTAAACTGGGAAATGCTCTCTGGTTGGATTGCATCTCCGAGCTTTGATATGGCGTAATGAACATATTTATGATATTTATTGAAGGTGAATGTAAGCTACTGAGTTGAGTTTAGGACTTCAGTCGAGACTGTCTTGAAATGAGACCATTCTAATACTTTCTACCATTTCAATGGGAAATTCACAATACTTTGTTTGACATATTCACAAATCCATGGATTTATTCTCACCTACTGTGTAACTGTCATTGGAAAACTGTGATTCTGGAGACCTCACTCATTCCTGACAATTCAACTCCATTCAGCTCCACCTCTACAGACATTTTTGTAACTAAAAAAGAAACATTTTTACACATATTTTTGTTCATGTACAGAGCCATGAATCAACCCACATATTAATCTAGAAAGTATATTGCTGCATGAACGTGTCAAAGTGTAAATCCAAATGTGTATTTTTTTTTGGGTCAATTTTCCATAATATTTATGGAATATTTCATTTTAATTTTATTGATCTGTTGATTGATAGTCACAATTCATCTTAATGCATTCTTGATTTGGGAAAATATTGCCTGTTTATTCATGTATTTTGTTGCGCCGAGAATATGCTATGTCTTTCCTGCACCAATAAGACATCTCTGTGAGGTTGTATATTTTCTAAAAATGTTTTACTTTTAGTTTCCACCCTTTTACATTTATTTTATGTTGGCAATGTAAACGGCTTCATACTGTGTTGTGTGTGCATCTCGCTGTCTCTATGGGGTTGGTGTCACGTGTGTGTGTGTGTGTGTGTGCTCGGTTCCAGGACTTTCTCTGTAACTGATACTTTTTCACTCAAAGGTGGGGTTGTTTCCTGGACTGTCTATTTCTCTGAATGATTAAATGATCAAATAAACACCTTTTCCATTGGACAATAAACAAAGACAATAATTCTTATTTCTTCTGCCTATTGTTTTAGTAATCTAAACCCTTTGCCTCTTTCTCTTTTTCTCTTTTTGATCTACCTTTTGTTTGGCTCTTCCTTCCTTCAGAGATGGTTGTTCCCCATCTCACCGCATGTATGAGATCATCTAATGACAAGCTGGGAGATCCTAGTTCCTACCAAAATCAGACCATGGTTTGTAGCTGTCCTCTCCATCTCTCTCCTCCGATCTCTCTCTCTCTTTCTCTCTCTCTCCGGTTTCTCTCTCTTTCTCTCTCTCGCTGTGTGCTGTAGCCTCAACTCACCCGTATCGTGCCTCTGCTCCATGCATAAGAGTCCATTCACCCAGAATGCATTGCCAATATCGCCGCTGCTGCCGCTGTTGTCATGCTGACCAGTAGGAATGGATTCATACATCCCACCTCTTGCATTCAACCTCTGGACATGGCGTGTCCACTGCTGACATGCCAAAGCATCCGTTTGATTCATGTCACGATAGTTTGGTTGTGGGATATTGGTAAAGTTTTTGTCTTTCCTAGACATTTTCTCAACCAATCAATCAATCCCTCCTCTACTGCTGTTCCTCTCTTCTAGCTATTTACTATTTAGCTGTCTAGTTAGTATCTGTGGTTTGTCCCTAGCATTGGAGATAAAACTAGATCCAAGTAGAGTTATTAAGACTTTTAGAAGCCGTCTTGTGACACTTTGATTACCATCCATGTGGTTTATTCACTGATCGGGTGATGTGGTTAGAGTCAGGTAAGAACCAATACCACTGCAGTCATTTAATGACGATCAATTGTCTCTTATCTCCTTGATTAGTCCCTAAAACCATTCAGTACACCTCCTTTATCCATGGTGCTGAGCCAACTCCCGGCATTCTTTATTATGTCCAATCTGTGAAACTAATTTACAACCACAATGTTGTTCCGAAACCAATCATGCTCATACATTATTTACATCATTGCTCAATTCAAAAACTCATCTTGGTTTTGTTAGTTGCATTAAATATTGATCTCACATCGAAGGCATCGCCTGAGCATGAATTAGTCATGTCAAACAATCTAAATCAGCATCAACACCATGCAGCACGCAGCATTTTTACCAACCATTGGACCCCTTCAGCTCCTTTAAGCCAGACTGCTCCTTCCACCAATCCTCATACAGTACGTTGCTGCTTTTGGCTCATACATAGCAATACTAATAACTTACCATCATCAGCTGTGGCTGTGCATCCAAATGGAGAATTGATATAGCCGTGTTTGTTTGCTGACATTAACATTAGAATTGGCAGTATTACAAATAATGTTAGTAGCCTGGTTATTAATCACTATAGTTGATCTAGTCTAGTCAGGAAGTCTGTAAGAGCAGTGTGTTTCATCCAGCACCCTGTGTTGTATGTCATGTTCTATTCCAGACCCCAGCATCGACGGTGCCGGTCCAGTCGCAGGGGTACAAAACGCTTCGGAAGTGAGCACCCTGCCCCACAACAACGCACCATCGGACACCAATGCACCAGTCCCTCACAAACCATCTCGGAGCACGGACAAGAAGGGCCACCACCATTCCAAACACCGCTCCCCGGAAAAGAAGGGCAAGCGCAAGGGAGGGGCGTCTGGGGAGACGGGGGCCTCCAAGCAGTCCAAGAAAAAGGGCAACAAGAGCCAGAGGTCTAGCGGGGATAGCCACGGCACTCACCACCGAGGACACCGCTCCCCGGATAAGGGCCGTAGCCGGGCCCGCAGTGCAGACAACACCCTAGACAGTAGACACAGCCAAGGGCACCACAACACCCACCGCTCTCCGTACAGGTCCACTCACCGCAATCGGTCACCCTATGGCCACCGTTCCCCCTATGGCCACCGGTCACCCTTCCACTCCCCCCACCGCTCACACCACAACTCCCCCACCCGCTACCGCCGTACCCAGTCCTCAGACCCCTACCGGCAGCCCTCCCCAGATAGACAGAGGCGCCGTGGGCCAGAGAGGCCCAACGGGGAGGTGGCACCAGTGCTAAGGAAGCCTCCTGGCCCTGTGCCCAGACCCTTCCTGGATGAGAGCATCCTACAGGAGCCCCCAGCCCTGGACCGAATCAACAGGGAGGCCACGCAACTGAGGGAGCCCAGAGAGGAGCACCTGTTTGGGGAGGACAGCCTTCTGCTGAGGGCCTCCAACTTGGAGCGTGACTACAGAGGAGACAGCCTGTTATCTGCTGCTGCCAGTGGCCAGAGAGGGGAGACCCTTCCCAGGGTCCACACCCCTGAGTCAGACAGCGCCTACAAGAGGTACAGTTCACTGCTGAGGGGTCGCTCGCCTGCGAGGGTGGAGAGAGAGCCGCGCTACGCCCCCAGGGAGGAGTCCCCAGACCCCCACCACAGAGCCCCTAGCCTGGGCCGAGACATTTCACCTGTCAGGAGCTTCAGAGAGCCAGAGGAGGAGGAGGAGGAAGCAGCAGCACCCAGGCTGAAGGAGTATTACAGCAAGTCCAATGCCAGCCGTGCTTCCAAAGCGCTCCCAGAGCCCAAGCGGAAGGCCTACAAAGATAGCACCAAAGACCTGAGCATCTGATGGGACATCTGCTGTAACACAACCAGCGCCCCCTCCCACTTCCCCACGGCAACACGGTTCCCCCTCACCACTCAGCTCTACCCTTCACACAGCAGAACACACCTGGACCCTGGATGAACCAAATGTATTGATTATATATGACATTCCTGCTTTCCTACTAGACAGTGATTCCAAAAGCTATCAAATGTTTCTGTTTGTTGGATTTTTTTAGGGGACGTTAGTTGGTTAAGCATTGTATATTTCTCCGAATTTTACAGAAAATGTAAAACCGAAAAAAAACTATGATGTGCCTAACAGTTATTTTAATGAGTGTATTTTTCTTTTGTTTTTGTTTGATATGAGACAAGTGTTTTCTCAGCCAAATGTGGTATGTATTTTCCACTGAGCCCAAGGAGGCAGGCATTACACAGCCCCAGTGACTGGTGCCACTGACACAGATGCTGTGCATGTCTTTACGGTTTCAATGTCTTCTCTTTTCTTTCTCTCCCCCAGTGCCACTGTTTTTTTGACATTTGACCAGACTATAGCACAAGCCTGCATTTGTTTGTATATTTTTGGACAGTTTGCAGTATGTGTACATTCAGAGGTGATCATTTTAAACAAATGAAGGGGAGAATAAAGTTAAACTATGATGATGATGATGATGTTAAAATAAAAATAATATATCAAACAAACTATCTTCAGTGTCCCTGTTTTGGTATTATTGTATTATAATTAATCCGAGGAATTGTGGAACATTGACATGTGAGTCTTAGGTCTTATGACTTTTCCAATATGTTATGTTGCCGATATACAGTGGGGGAAAAAAAGTATTTGGTCAGCCACCAATTGTGCAAGTTCTCCCACTTAGAAAGATGAGAAAGGCCTGTAATTTTCATCATAGGTACACGTCAACTATGACAGACAAAATGAGAAAAAAAATTCCAGAAAATCACATTGTAGGATTTTTAATGAATTTATTTGCAAATTATGGTGGAAAATAAGTATTTGGTCAATAACAAAAGTTTATCAATACTTTGTTATATACCCTTTGTTGGCAATGACACAGGTCAAACGTTTTCTGTAAGTCTTCACAAGGTTTTCACACACTGTTGCTGGTATTTTGGCCCATTCCTCCATGCAGATCTCCTCTAGAGCAGTGATGTTTTGGGGCTGTCGCTGGGCAACACAGACTTTCAACTCCCTCCAAAGATTTTCTATGGGGTTGAGATCTGGAGACTGGCTAGGCCACTCCAGGACCTTGAAATGCTTCTTACGAAGCCACTCCTTCGTTGCCCGGGCGGTGTGTTTGGGATCATTGTCATGCTGAAAGACCCAGCCACGTTTCATCTTCAATGCCCTTGCTGATGGAAGGAGGTTTTCACTCAAAATCTTACGATACATGGCCCCATTCATTCTTTCCTTTACACGGATCAGTCGTCCTGGTCCCTTTGCAGAAAAACAGCCCCAAAGCATGATGTTTCCACCCCCATGCTTCACAGTAGGTATGGTGTTATTTGGATGCAACTCAGCATTCTTTGTCCTCCAAACACGACGAGTTGAGTTTTTACCAAAAAGTTCTATTTTGGTTTCATCTGACCATATGACATTCTCCCAATGCTCTTCTGGATCATCCAAATGCACTCTAGCAAACTTCAGACGGGCCTGGACATGTACTGGCTTAAGCAGGGGGACACGTCTGGCACTGCAGGATTTGAGTCCCTGGTGGCGTAGTGTGTTACTGATGGTAGGCTTTGTTACTTTGGTCCCAGCTCTCTGCAGGTCATTCACTAGGTCCCCCCGTGTGGTTCTGGGATTTTTGCTCACCGTTCTTGTGATCATTTTGACCCCACGGGGTGAGATCTTGCGTGGAGCCCCAGATCGAGGGAGATTATCAGTGGTCTTGTATGTCTTCCATTTCCTAATAATTGCTCCCACAGTTGATTTCTTCAAACCAAGCTGCTTACCTATTGCAGATTCAGTCTTCCCAGCCTGGTGCAGGTCTACAATTTTGTTTCTGGTGTCCTTTGACAGCTCTTTGGTCTTGGCCATGGAGTTTGGAGTGTGACTGTTTGAGGTTGTGGACAGGTGTCTTTTATACTGATAACAAGTTCAAACAGGTGCCATTAATACAGGTAACGAGTGGAGGACAGAGGAGCCTCTTAAAGAAGAAGTTACAGGTCTGTGAGAGCCAGAAATCTTGCTTCTTTGTAGGTGACCAAATACTTATTTTCCACCATAATTTGCAAATAAATTCATTAAAAATCCTACAATGTGATTTTCTGGATTTTTTTTCTCAATTTGTCTGTCATAGTTGACGTGTACCTATGATGAAAATTACAGGCCTCTCTCATCTTTTTAAGTGGGAGAACTTGCACAATTGGTGGCTGACTAAATACTTTTTTCACCCACTGTACCAAGAGGACAAAATGGTAGATTAATAATATAATATTTCAAAACAAAGTAAAGTGATCTGTCTGTTTATAAACCAGTGTGGTTCTTTGCTCTCTGTTCTTCAAATGAGAGAGGAAGAAAGCTGTGTCCTCAGATGTCAAGATGATGACAGGAGCCAGTGGATGGGGACACCAAGGTCATGTTCTCTTACTCCCAGACCACAGACAGAAAGTGATGCAGACAGAGGCCAGTCAGTCAGGTGACCTGTGGAGGCCACTCAGAGGTTTTCCTCTAATGAAGCTATCAGCTTTCAGCTTCTGGCCGGGCAGAGTGATGATGAAATTATGTTAGATATAACTGATTCAAAACTTGGTCATGGCCTGGTGCATAAAGTTGTCTCATAATGAAAACGTCTGTTTAGAAGATGTGCTTAGATAAGCCTTAGAATATTGGCTGAATTGCAAATCATTTCAGTCAATTATCCTTTTACTTTTTAATAACTATGCTTAATCTGGGTCTGTTTAACTACATGGCATAATACATTTTAGGAACATGGCAGTTTCTTTTAAGATTTGTAAAAATATTTTCACATCAATGCTTAAAAAAAGCATCTCTACGTACCATAACAGTATTCGATCAGATAATTGCACCCATACAGCCTCTGTCATTATCACTATTATTACAATCTTTTTTGCCTATTTATGTGCATATTTGGATATTTAGAGTTCATGTAATATCCACAACCTTGTTTACATTTGAGGATATTCAATTGCCTTCAAATGGGCCTGCTTAGCCTGAAGGCATTTAGAGATTTGGTTACAGAAATATTATGATAATGAGTGTATAATGAATTTGTGATGAAACAATCACATTTTCCAGAGGCCTCCAGCTAGTCCTGTAAACTTGTTTAATATACAATATTATTCTCTAATATTAGTGATGTCATCATAGTGTGTGAAGCTCCTGGGGCTTCTAAAGGTCTTTTCTCATTAGTAAATAACACAGGGCTTTACTGCATGTTAACGCCACTGATCAATGTTTAAAGATTCAATTCATGCTTTTGTCAAGCCAAAAGGAATGAGAGAGTTGAATTTAGTCAAGATAAAAATGAAATGCTATTTTGATATGTGAGGCTTTGATCTAAAATAATTTTTGGAATGCTTAGGTTGTTACGAGTGTACTGATATAAAAGGGATGCACGTGAAATCCCGGCAACTTTGAGAAAAAAAAAAGTTATATCGGAGTTGTCCCTGTTGAAATTTGAAACAGTCTATGCATAGCTTCTCACTCTCTATTGAATACAGACGGTTGATGTCAACACCCCTCATCGAATATTCAAAATAGTATTCAAATAACGGGATGTATCCACCAATCCAAAGAAAGGAATAGGCGGGAGCTTGCCAGCCCGCTGTTTCCGCTCTGTGGACAACGAATCCCATTGTTAGGGCAGAGACACAAGCATCTTGTCATTATATCCAATATCTCTGCCCATATGGTGAAGTAGCAATTCTTCCCATAGCCAGTGAAGGGGAATCAGGACCTAAATAATGGATCCAATCCAGTCTCAAGCACCAAAACACACTCCTCTCTCTCTCTCTCCCTGAGCCTTCATCAAATATAGAATCAGAGCAATGAATGGTAACAATTCAACATGGATGTGTGCGCGCTGAGGAAGAGGAGATAACGAAATCTGTAATAACGACACCACAGCAGCAGCAGCCCAGAATCAGGGCTCCAGCTCGGGGGCTCTGTGACCTTAGAGCCTCTCTTTCTCCCGTCGCCATGGAAACACACAGACGGTTCCATCCTGTCAACCTGACTGGAGAAAAGATGACAGCCATGTTCTGTTTGAGGCAGACATGCATGCGTTTTTTGGACAAAATAATTCAGTAGATTTTTGGCCAAGTGTAGGCCTGTGGGGGTGTGGGTTTATATTTAGTTCTGATTTGATTTGACTGTTTGTGTGTGTGTGTGTGTGTGTGTGTGTGTTTATTTTAATGCCAATTGTCATTTGTAACATGTTATACAGGTAATTCTGCAGGTAAGGGGAAATGTAGAAGGGATAGACAAATTGTTGCCTTGTCAGGTTAATACCTTGTCAGGTTAATACCTTGCATGTCTCTACATTACTGTCATATCTTCATGTGTAAATTCTTCTCCTTAGTTGAAAATGATGAGTCGTGACTCAACTACCAAAATCAACATCAATCTCTCTACATCTTTCATCCTTTACCTGTGATAATATCCCCACCACTCGGTCCAGAGAAAAACATACCAGACGGGCGTGAATGCAGAATGCTTTTATTCTATATCGAAGGTCGAGTAATGCGTCCTCAGAAAACATGACCCACCAAGCCGAGCTTCTTAACACCCGCCCGCTTAACCTAAAGCCAGCTGCACCAATGTGTCGGAGGCAACACCGTTCAACTGACGGAAGATTTGTAAAAATAAAAAAAATCTGAAGTGTTTTTTATTAGGGTTATTATGGCTAATAGTTGCTACCTGTCAATCATCATTAGTATCAACAGTTCAAATTGACACACAACACTGTGTGTGTTGGAATATGCACTGAGAGTCAATGAATCAGATATACAGTAAAGGCCTGCATGTTGCTTTATCCTACTCAC